CAATGAATCACCCGTACCACCGACTGATCCCAACTCAGACAACCTTCCCACACCAACATCTACAACTGGCTCCGAAGCACTCGTCGACTGACACACCACACCTCCTGGTCTCGAGGACGTCGACTCCATCGCCAGAGCAATCAAACCTACAGGCGCCAACAAACCTGTCAACATCATTCTACCAAGACTCTCGAGACGTCCGGAACTAGGATCACGAACCAACGACCGCTCACCCGATATAACACCACTGTTCACAGCCTGTGACAACGTCAACACCTCGCCACTAGACGGATCACGAACTAGTCCAGACTTTGTGTCAACAAGACCCGCTTCAATAGCCTCACGTAACTCAAGTCCACGCTGGTCAGGCAGAACAGACACTTCTCCATACCTAACACCATCTGACGACAGCATGTCCGAATCCAAACCACTGTCCACACCTCGTCTCTCTGTCATGTCGGACAACAACTCGGATACACTCGTCGAACCCACACCCATCACAACACCATCTCTGCTCGACGACAAAACACCCTCACTCGTCTGCATCGCTCGCCTCTTCACATCAACGTCGTCCACATTCAAACCATGTATAGTCGTCCAATCCCCTTTTTTCTGGACTCTATATTTTTTGTGCGAGTCATATGTTTTTGTCTGTTTCTCATTTTTTTCGTTTTTTCCCTTGTTTTCTTCGTAGTGTTTATGTGGTTCGTGCTTTGTATATTTTTCCTGTTGTTTTGTTGAGAATGTTCCATCATTTGTTTTACCTTTTTCTGTAATTGCACTGGTTTTGTTCTGTGTATTTTCATTCGATTTGTCATTGCTTCCGTTATGTATATTCATAGTTTGTTTGTTGTCTGATAGTTTGATCTGTTTACTTGTTTCGTACATCCCAATTTTTTCATTTTCATTTTGCCATATTATATTTTTGTGTAGCACATTTTTTCGAATGATCTCTTTATCGCTTTCGCTTAATCGTTTTTCAATTCTGACGTTCATTCTTCTGTGAACACCTGTTGAACATAGTCCTGTTCTAATTAGTAGTTTCATGAGATTTGATCTCCAGTGGTCATGTAAAGACTCTGTTGTTTCTGTTTGAAATATTAATTTTGCTGTATCAAGTATAGTTGCTAAACTATAATAAACAGGTATTTCTTGATCGCCGTACATGGGATGTTCTTTCAAATTATCTTCATTATAGTGCTGAACACATACAAGCAATTGACTAGGATCAATTAATGCTTTTTCTACAGCTTCTAATAAATTAACTGTACTAGTTCTTCCACATTGTGTTCTTAGTAAACCGTGTTCAGTATCTATCCATCCTCTTTGAATAGCAGTTTCAAGAAGAATATACCGTGGTGTATATTTTGCCGATAAATCTGAAGTAATTTTTGGTGTAGGATCAGGAAATTGATATCTTACTAATGATAAACTAATAGCTGGTATTGTAGTACTGTCAACTAGACGAACAGGTTGGAGAGGATGAACTAGTGATTTCAGCGGTAATCCTAAAGAATTCCTAAAATGTGTATTCTTAACATATATAATGTTTAATTATATTTTAGTGAGGATTCCAGCAATTATATAAATGCATGCATACAAGCGGTAAAACAGGCGAGCAAATAAGCAGACAAGCGAATTGGTAGGCAGGCAGTGAAAGAAACGACACAGACGCGGGATATAAATTTAAAATAGTCAACAAGCAAAGAAGCATAAAAATAAAAAAATAAAAACAAAAAAAACAGGAACGTAGTGATGCAACAGGGGATCGATTATGTAATGCACAATGACATAGTATCAAATAGTTAACAATCATTACCATGGATAAATGATTTCGATATTTTCAATGAGTAGTATAATGATGATGATGGTGATAATGAGATGATCATGATAGAAATTCATCATCATTGTAATTTTTATTTCAATAATGATAACGATAATGATAGTAATTTAAATAAACAGTCACAACGACAATAATAACACAACGCAAAAAACGGAGGAAAAAAAAGAGGAAAAGAAAAACGTTTACTATTAGTTAACAGCTTTAAACAAATATTATGAGTTAATACATAAAAAATATACATATTAATTAACTAAGCAATTAATAAATATCATATATGAAAATGTGAATGAAAATTAGGCAAGCGTCTAATTTTACATTCAAATAATTCAATTTTTTTACAACTTGTTACTCAGATTATCAAGGGACCCATTGTGTAGCAGAAAAGATGGTACATTCGTAACTCTGATTTACTGTTCATATAAATTATCAAGTAGTATTAGAAACTTGGCAATTTCTTTTCCAAATTATTGTGTACGTAATGATATTTAGTCGATTACTCGGTTCTTTTTAGCCTGATAATTTGTTTTCTACAAATGCATCTTTCTCTAGGTTCTGAAACATAAGCCTACTTATTAATGACAGACACTATTCTCGAATTGCAATTGCTGTCTCATTTTGTTAGTCAGGGGTTGGAATTCCGAATAACTGTCTGACAAAGCTTTTTATTTAAAGTCAAACTGTCGTTTAAGTGGATATAATGAATCGTCATCTAATTTGAAAATGTAACGATATATATGCTAGAAATTATTATTATCATCATTTTTATTTAGTTTCTTTATAAACGAATTGATGATAGTCACTCTGTTTAACTCCAACATTTCAAAGATTAATCTATTTCTCAGAAATCACGTTATGGAAGTAGAATGTATAAATGACATAGCCCATTCGATGGAAGCATATGAAAAGATTAAGGGATCTATGATAATTTTACAGAACTGGTCAATATACATATCTTTGTAATTAGCTAAGTGCCCAGTTCGGAAAAGAAAAAATTATGCACATATATCATAAAATATTTAACAAAAAATAACACTTCTAATGTCACATAAAAATGAAAATAATAATCATTGCTAAAGCTGACAAGGTAAGTAATAATAATAGTTATTATGACCATCGATAAAGTCAGAGACAAGTATAATGTTAAAAGAATTCAAATAGTTTAATAAAAAATTTTTTCTGGTTTAGATAATAGTTTAAATCTTGCACGACTTCATGTTTGCTTATGAACCGTCAAAGATTCATAAGCTCAACAATAGGACTAATGTTATTAAGGACTATTCTCACATATCAATTGTTATATGCATACTTATACATTGTTATATTGAACATTTTTTAACAGCTCAAACAGATTTAAGTGACTAAGTATTTTTTAAAAAAAAAAGAAAATGGAATAAATATTAGCTATTGAACGAAATAGTGGTAAGATCTGACATTGTATTAATGACATATTAGCATTTCCATTAATTTGTTGGGGTGATCTAGAAAACTCGCAAAATACAAGAAAGGTTTAGAAAGCACTAAGAAGCATTTTATCCAATCACCGTTCACTTGAAGTCTAGCCAGAAACATCAATAAAGTGAAAAGTCACATGTAGAGTTTTTGATTGGTTCATTACTATATTGATACTATGTTTAGTAGCATTCCAGAATTTTCGGGAAACCCAAGGACATCTAAAATACTGAAAAAAAACCCTACATTTTCTGTACTAAAACGAACCTTTGGAGTAAAGTGCTTCTCACATATTTTGCGCCTTTTCTCTCGTGTTTAGGTCGCTGTGTAGTTTAAGCTTGGGGGTTACGACAATAGCTTAGGAACCAAATATAGCGTTCCATTAGCAAGACAACATAATGATAACCGTTTCAAAGTTCAATAAATATTTGAAGTTGATAAGCAGTAGATTTTGACAAAATTGTAAACTGTTCAAAACCACACTTCAATCTAACCTTCTTCATATTTGAAATAAATAAAATATAAATATTTGAGTAGAGAATTGGAAGAATTACTAATGTTTTGATTGAAATCATGAACTAATTGGTGTTAGACAACCGTTGAAAACCTGGAAGCACTGGACGGTCGTTTCGTCCTATTGTGGGACGACTCAGAAACTACTCAACGATCCCACACGCGGGATTCGAACACAGGCCTTCGGTCTTGCGCGCGAACACTTAACCTACTGGACCACTGAGCCGGCACCCAACGGTGTGTCTAACATTAACGAATCCACGAAATTGTGCGACCATCTTCCATTGTACTGAGGTAGATACTTGTCTCTACCCGACACGGATTAGCTCCACTAGTCACTGCTTCTTACTAGAATTCCGAGAATTCCCTCACGAAGCTAATCAATAGTGAGCACATGTTAATTATCAGTATAGGGTCCTACAATAGGACGAAACGGTCGTGCAGTGCTTCCAGGTTTCCAACGGTGGTCTAACATCAATCGGTTCATGATCTCAATCAAAACTTAATAATCTCCACAACCCTATACTGATAATTACTAATGTCCTTGTATGGAAAAATTTTTAACATTGAAATATCCATTATTCCTAACTAATTTGTCTAAGATCGTATTTTCACCTTCTGATTGTGTTTCTTATTATAAGATTCTGTTCTATTTTTAATAATTTTCTCAATGTGACTTACTTTCTTATACTCGTTTATTATGAATTATCTTTCGAAAATGAACATATCTCAATGGGTAATAGTGACATTAATTCCTAATATATGCTTGTTGTTAAACTAGGTTTTATCCTGAACTTATCTATCAAAACAAAGACTGAAAGACTTATTAATAATGAAAACATAATAAAATATATCCAGTTTTTCCAGCTTAATTACTTCTTAGAATGAGAAAAAAATATTTAAAAGAGCGCTAAGGTATTAGTATAACTCAAAGGTCGTCTGTAAATTGTAACCTCAACGATTACACTCATTTACACATGTTTATAATCATTTTGAACAATCAAACATAAGATAAGATGATAAACTTATCAGGAAACGATTAAATACATTTAGTGTATTCAAAAGAATAACTGAAACTCGATGATTGAATTGAATTTATAAACGGAATAGTATTTCTAGGTTAATGGGTTGATCGGTATAATATTATTAAACCATTGACGAATAAAGCTAATACTGCAGTAAACAGAACACGGGTGGGGATAATCGAATATATTTGACGACTAATTACAGAACTTGTTAATAAAATCTAACATCCATATAGTAAATGTTCAATTGCAAAATGTCCATCAATTGTCTCAAAATGACTCAGACTTGATTGTTCTTGCATTTTCATACAAATTGCATTCTGTTTTCATTCTTTATTGCTCGATCTTCTTGTCTCTCTGCTGCCAGACATTCCGTTCACGACTAACATCATATACTACTTATGTCTACATAAGTAGCACACACCACAGTACTTGTTTAAATCTTATTGTAACTGGGAATTTTTGTTTTGATACATTAATCATCTTTGTAACATAAATGTTAGTCAGTTAAATGAATCTATCTTAGAAATTTAAATTAATAATGATAATAATCTACGTATAAATATACATTCTTATAAACTGTTAAAATTTAGTATAAAAGTGTAATTCTCAATAGTTTCAGTGATTTCCAATGACATACTATTTGATATCAGACCATAATAAAAACTAATTAGGATTTATTATGTATTTTCTTAATGGCTAATGGAGTATTTAGTAACGAAACACCAAACAGAAATATATTCACTGAATTAATCTCTACTACTTATATTAAAATATTGTTCTCATAAAAGTAAAAAGTAAATTCTCTGTTAAAACTATGTAAAAATGTTTACAAGAACTATATTAATAATTTAAAATGAGAATCATAGTACATGGTGAAATTGATTTGTACTACTTATATAAACATATGTATTTCAGTGATGGCTGACAAACTGCTGTTGTCCCTGTGTTGAGTAGTTTTTGAATATTTATATAAATTGAAGTAAAACAAGAAATAAGTTGTCAATAAACGTACCTTAGTATTTTTATTCACCTCTTGTTTACGATCACTATAGTGTTGTTCATTAGGATGTGAATATGTCGAAACGTCAGATTTTTCACTTTTCATATTGTGATTACTTTCAGCTGAGGTAATCTGATGGTCTGATTTCAGTTGATATCTAATAGAAGAATCTGTCAGTATCCGATGATTAGGTCGATAACTTGGTGGTGTTTTACATTGTATTTGACGTTGTACATTTAATGTCGTCTGTGGTGAAATATGCACAGATTTTTGATCAGTTGAACAGATTTCTTTATTTATATTATTTTGAAGTTGTTTACCACGAAGTATAGTATGTACAGATCTTGTAAAAATGGTAGTTTCTTCAACTGTACGTACATGGACGTGATCAAATGAACTGCCGATTAAATCAAATGGTGGTGGATTACCAACGGGCAATGCTTGTATCCAGCCTTGATACAAAGCTTCTTCGATTGAATATAAATTTCCGCTTACTGGATGAGTATATGAACAATGAATAGGATCAATAATACCAGTCCCAATTGCATCAGATACTGAAACTAAATTATTCAAATAAGGATCAAACACTCTTTCTAAACGATATATATCATGACGATAATGAAATACTTCCAACCAATATAAAGAATTAGATGTTCGCTGATCATTTTCCAAATGTTGTTCAGCTTGAGTAAAAACAATACCGAAAACAAAACCTTTTGTTAATGCTTCTGGAATAGGGTAGAATTGTCCACTGATTGGATCACAAATAGTTTTTCTATGCACGTCAACACGACCTTCACGAACCATCGTATCGGTGATAGAGGCTTCAACACGTACATCATCATGTAGATAATAGAAAGCATAAAGTACACAGTTGCGTTCTTTTAATTTAGGTATATCACAACTTTTTATTTTAGGTTTTTTACGAATAGTATATTCATCTCCATCATTTACTGTAGATTTTGAGCGTAAATTACAATGAGATGATTTACCACGTAGTCGTCCAACACCATGACAATCTAAGAATTTAATGAATCTTGATTCAGTACGACCACTGTTAGCAATAAAATCGTTTCCATTACTTAATAAATGGCCAGATGGTATGACAGGAGGTAATGTGTTATTGCGTAATTCAGCAGTATAACTGGAATCTTTCTCACTTCGTCTTTTAATAGCTAATAAGGAATCCATACTATGAGTATATCCTTTATTTGGTAAACCATTGAGATTTCCGAGAAAAGTCTATAAAATTATTTTGTTTTTAAAATAAAAGAATTATTTGAAGTCGGGTTATTTAAAAGAATTACTGGTTAGAATTAGTATAATAATAAGTGTAATCAAACAAGTTAACGTAAATTTTCGTGATCATTAATGTTAATTTTTGTCAACTATTTTCAAGTTCATGCAGTAGATGAAGAATGGTATGAACATAATTTAATACGCAAACTTAGGTTTGCATAACTTATGGCTATCATTTATCGGTTTGACTTAAATACGTATTGGGACAGACCACAGACAATATTATGAATGATGATGAACGAACCACAAAACATAAATCCTCCTTTAAATTTCGTGTATTATACTTAGGTTAACCCAATTGTGCAACAGTGTTAATAAGAGCCAAATACAAATTGAGTTGAAAAATTTATTTCAGACATTCATTTCTTCAGATTATTTATTATTTATTTATTTGAACACATAAATATTGGTACAAGGGGGAACCAAATATATATGCGCCACACAAAACAATGATAATTTGAAGAGAAGAAGAAAAGAGAAAAAAAAGTAATGAACGTGGAGAATTATAAAATAAAAAGAGAGAGAGAACAATGATGGGGAAAACGAAAAGGTACAATCTGAAGAAATCTTTCAGTTAAGGAAGATACAACCACTTTTTATGAAGAAAGTAAAAGAACGTTACAGCAGGATCGCCACTGGCTTCTATTCTGAGCCATATCTGATAACGTCTCTAACCACTGTGTTACACCATCTCTCGGACCCCAGCCAGGGAGTCGTGAAGGACCAACAGAAGCTAGCCCTTTGCAGCTGTCTTTCATACCACGACACCATGTCATATACTGACCAGCTTTCCGCTTTTTCCAACCAGTCCCAGAGTCGGCAAATAATGCACGACGTGGAATTCTCTGGGACGACATTCGTAGAACATGTCCAAGCCACCGAAGTCGGTGTTTCAAGATGGTGACACCAATTGCATTATCGTCTCTGTGACCGAACACACGATGCCGAACCTCTGCATTACTAACATGGTGTTGCCACTGAATGTCAGCAATCCTTCGGAGACAACGATGATCGAACACAGAGAGCCGTCTAACATCCTCAATTCGGAGAGGCCAGGTTTCACAAGCATAGAGCAGAACTGCTCTCACCGACGTGTTGTAGATCCGACCTTTTACAGCCAGACTAACATCACGAAGGCGCCAAAGATGGCCCAGATTGGCATAAGCCGCTCTGGCTTTCACTATGCGTGCATTGATCTCATCACTCACGCCACCACCAGCACTTATGCAGCTACCTAGATACACGAACTTCTCGACTACTTCAATCTGCTCACCATCCAGAGTGAGTACAGGATTAGAATCCTGCCAGTCTTGTAGAAGAACTTTGCACTTCGAAGGTGCAAAGCACATGCCCTCACTCTGCCTGAGGTGTTTGTGTATAGGGCTTTTAGGATGTTAATAAACTTCTCAGGCACACCCCTCTTCAATAGACAATCCCAGAGAACAGTTCTGTCCAACGAATCGAAGAGAGCCCTGACATCAAGAAACACTACGATTGTTGGCCTTTGATAAGTATGGCGGTGTTCTAACACTTGGCGGAGTGTGAAGATATGATCAATACATCCTCGACCAGAACGAAACCCAGCCTGCTCCTCGCGAGTCAATCCTTCTCGGGTTCTGAACAACCTACGAAGTATGACGGAAGCCAATAGCTTGGACGCAATCGGAAGTAGACTTATCCCCCGATAGTTGTTACAGGAACAACGTGAACCCTTTTTAAAGATAGGGACAACTATCGACTCATTCCATGACGTTGGTACACTCTCTAGTTCCCAGATCTTTGTAAACAACGTCGTCAGTCCCTTAGTCAGAAAGTCACCACCATCTTTAAAAAGAGCCGAAGGTAAGTCTTCCGGGCCCGGTGATTTGTAACGTTTCAAGAGTTGGAGTTCCTTGCGGACTTCCGCCTCATTTGGTGGATCAGTCGTCACCGGCCATGGAGGGCAGGACAGTCTGACCGATGTCGCCGGAGCAGCAGGCCAGTTGAACTGCCCTTCAAAGAATTCTGCCCATCGTCCAACACGTCGATGGATGTTAGTGATTGGCGTTCCGTCATCCTCGCAGATTGTTTCGCTCACACCAGACTTCTTGCTGCCAGTGTCTCGGATGAGTTGGAAGAGCTTCCGGTAACTACCAGATGCAGCTGCTGCTTCCAGCTCATTAGCACGCTCCGACCACCAGGCTTCTCGGTCCTTACGCAAGCTTTGCCTGATTTCATTACGTAACATCCTTCGTCTGTGGTCAAACTCACGGTCACCCGGAGTAGACCGACGGGCTTCAATCAGTTGTAAGGGACCAGAAGAAACCCAGTGCTTGTAAGCGGGACGTTTCGCAAACCCACAACAGACTGTACCCGCCATTTTCATGGCGTCATGCAATTGCAACCAATGCTCATCTATACTTTTCGGTAGAATGGTAGCTAGCCTAGAAGCTAGCTCGCTTCGGTACATACTAGCAACAGAAGTTGCAGCCAGCTTGCTAACATCAATCCTGTGGTGGCGGTCACTTCGTTGTCCACTGAAAAGTAAGGTAAGATTGACGCAGACCAGAGCATGGTCAGATTCCAGATAGGTACTCCAAAAGGAGCGGCATTCTTGTACACGACCGCGCCAGCGGTAGCTGATCGCGATGTGATCAATCTGAGTCCAGGCTTGAGATGCAGAAGGGGGACGCCAGGTGGCACATCGGCGATGCCTGTGCCGAAAGTTAGTGCTAGCCAGAAACAGGTTGTGGTCTGCGCATAGTTGCAGTAGACGTTCCCCGTTATCTGTCCTGCGACCAACAAGTCCCCATCGGCCACCTAAACGACTCTCTTCTGTGCCTAGACGCCCGACCTGAGCATTCAAGTCTCCAGCTAGTACTACAATATCTGTCGAACGCACTTTCTGGAGAAGAACAGTTAGCTGATGGTAGAACTCGTCCTTGATTGCATCCGGGCTGCAATCTGTCGGGGCATAGGCGGAGATGACGAAAACACATCGTTTCTCACGCCGATTTCTCACTTTGATGGAACTTTCTAATCTAACGGCACATAACCGACTGTTAATGGGGATCCAGTCGACTAGTGCTGCCTCAGCTCTAGCGCTTAGTGCGACACCAACGCCAGAAAGACCAGACGAAGATGCCACAGGGTCCCCGGATAAACGCACATAAAACAAGCTTTTTGAAGCGACAGATGGAGAGCGAACTTGTAGTACTTCACCAGAGTCTTGAATACGGGTCTCGGATAGACAACACACATCAATATTAAGACTTTCCAAAGACATAGCCAGCCCTATCTGTTGTCCGACCTGCATAAGTGTGCGAACGTTGAAGGCAGCCAGTTTGAATGGTGCACGTGGTTTCAGAAAAACTGCTTCAGTACTCATATTCGGTAGTAACATACAATTTTCAACCAGGCAGTGACTCGAGAACGTTTAGATAAAGCTGAATTTTCACCATAGGCGAGCTGCTGTCTGAGTCGAAACGGATACAAAAGGTAGAAATAGGAGATAGTGAATAAATGACGTAGTAAATAATAATAATAATAATAATAATAATAATAATAATAATAATAATAATAATAATAATAATAATACCAGTCATTTCAATGTTAGTCGGAGAGAAACGAATATTTTCTATAAGCAGATAGTTCATCATGGTTTTAGTGTGTGGGCTGAGATACTGCCCGGGTGCCCAAACCGAAGCAGGTGGTTTTCTTAGGGGGCCACACCCCGAGCCTTTGACCTAAAGGTCTAGTCCACAAGGCAGTGGAGCATCGTGAGGAGATGCAGTCCCATGGAGGCCGGTGACCAAAAGTTGGTTCATACGCCATTTGTTCCTTCAGGATACTGGAGCCCATGTGCACCATAGAATTGGGATCCGGTTATAGCGCCGGACGTTCGCTTTTCGTCCTCTCATTTTCGTAAACAACACCCCCGCCACGAGAAGGCAGTGAGTAGGACTTCCCTGGCAGAGGCTGTATACGCGTGGCCGTGTGAGAGTATTTCGAGAGGGAGGGCGAACCCTCCCCGCTCTTGGCCATACCAGGGCAGATAGACTGTAAGTCTACTCAGTTTTATCAAACGTAACTCAACACTGATAGTCAGACAGATAAAAGCAAGCAACAGAGTGATAAACAAACAAGCACAGGCACTCAAATAAAAGCACTCAGGTTTTTAAGTGAATATTCGAGAAGGGCAGATATATGTGTACATAGAAGCTGCTATAATGTGAACTAAATATCTGAGAGTTAAGTGCCTACTTTGCTGAAGCTACAGGTTGAAAGCGAGTGAAAGGTGGTCGGAGGCTAAATGATCTGTTTTTAAGGTGGCCCACTCATTGTTCTAAAAGGTTAGTCCGGACTGTCGGCCGAGCTTTATATTTTACAGTTTTATGTACTGATCTATTAATGTAGTCTTCTTGATGAGTTTAAACAATTATCAACTGTTACCTATCACTACTACTCTCCTCATCTCTTTGATTTTCAGTGCTTAATACTGTTCAAAATCATTGTGTGAACTATTTACCATTTTATAAATTATTTACATTGTGCCACTGTTGCACTAAATTTGTGGTCTTTCTGTGTCCATAAAATGTGATGGCAGCAAAAACATGATCAGATTCGAATTATATATGACAGAAGAAGTGGGAAGTCGCTACTATTATTTTCCAACAATGACTGACAGTATAACTGTTTTAACTGCTGAGTTAGTCACTGTGATTGCCAAGTCATGCATCATAAGAGCATAGTTGAAGCAGACAGTGATCATTATACTTTCGCTTTGTAAAAAATCCAAGATATCTTTCCACTCGGCCCAGTCAATATATCTGAGTTCAGTAGAGCTACTACGTTTGAGAGTTTGATATTCTTTAGGACATCAGAAGGCTTAGCTAAAACTCATCTTTAGCAATAGCAAACAGTAATCAGTGAGAACAGAGGTATAAATTACATGGTTTGTAGCTTTTTTCAATCAACTAATCAAAATCAAGCTTCTGTTGATTTTTATATGAAGTTAAAAGTATATGTGAGTTAATTTCTGGATGAAATGCTGTTAGTTACGCGAAACAATGTACGAAATTAATTGTAGGTACGTTTAATTGTTTCGAATAGATAGAGTTCTGTTCACGATTCACTTATTCCGTTGTAAAAAAGAAATAGAAGTGAACACTCGTGTAAAGAACTTCTATTCTCTAAGAATCAAATAGGTTAAGAGTGTCAGCAAAATCTTATTCATAATGAGAATGGATAAAACAGCCAAAATGTTTATTACAACTTACTTCAGCAGCCGGAGGTTTCAATAATCCTTGTTTAATAGCATCATGAATATTTATAGAATTCGACCGATTAGAATTACTAGTGTTGTCTGATTGATGAAAAGTATTTGAGGCTGGATCAATTAATCCTTTCTCAAGAGCTTCTTCAAAAGTTGGTATTTCTGTTGGTAATTTTTTATCAGCTATTAAACATCGATTTATAGCATCAGTCAATGGAATCCATTTATTTTTATACAATAAAACACCTTTATGATCATTTATTAAACCAACTGAAATAGCTTTATCCAATGAATAAAATTTTTCTGTGTTAAATTCTTTCACTATCGAATGTTCGACATTAACTAAACCCAATGTAATAGCTGCATTTAAAGACATTGGATCTGTGTATCCTGGGACTTTGATAACACATTTCGATCCGGACTGTTTAACTAGTTGACCATTATTAAATAATTGAACTAAAGTATATGATAACTTATCTGTAGAATCTACCATAAGACTATCGTGAGAGGCTTCATAATTATTGCCGTAAATTGATATATAACCTAATTGTTGTGCTGATTCAATTGGAATACTTGGTTGTACACCATGGTATGTGAAAGATTCCAGATTGATAAGACCTTTCTTAGCAGCTTCGTTTGGATCAATCCGAGTGCCGGTAAGAGGATCGAGAACATTTAAAATCTTATATAAACGAGTCTCTTTGACAGAAACCATTTCGACTGATTCATTTACTTCTGAATGAAGTGAGTTGGGTACAGATGACGTGTTACCCTAAGAGTGGAAAAAAATATATGGGGAAAAAGGATGAAAGCATGTGACAGTGACAGGACCCAAAAGTCCAACTAGATAATCTGAGATGCCCTTGACTTAAAAATTATTTTTTTTCTCCATGAATGATAATTAAAGTTATAACAAGACTATGGTTGAATAAAGAACCTCTAATGATTCCTACGAATATAAAAAATAATGAAGATAGTTGTCTTCATGAATTTTTAAACCTCATTCAGAATTTCAGTTACTTATATTTTATGGACTATATAGAGTGAGGAACTACTGAAAACATCATAGGTTTGTCAATGAAATGATATTATAATTATTGGTAGTAGGCACAGAGCATAGAATAGACTAGAGCATTGCTTATACCAAAAAGCTATAGTAGCACCAGGATTTATTTTCATGAAATGTCAGTTGATGTTAAGGCACATAATTTTAATGCTGTTACATAGGATTATAGATATAACAATAACTGGAAATTTCAAATTAATGATAGCTACAAAATAGTCGTGAACCATGAGCTTTTTGTTGAACGAGACTCTGCACTCTGTGATAATAACGTCCAAATAATATGAAATAAATTAAGAGTATTTGCTAACACATAATGGCTCCAGGGGATTGATGTCACGGAGATAAATGGATAAGCATGTGTACAATACGTGGTTGGAGTGCAAACTAGAATAAACGATTTCGAATTTAGACGAAGCTACAAATGAAGGGATCAAACTGTGTATACTATAATACAGCGTTTGTAAGTCAAACTGTAATGCACATATTGTTGGATTGTAAAATCAACTCTTAAATACCTTTGTTTCTTTGGTGTCATGTTGAAGTCATTTGTTACAATGAATAGGTTTATACCTCCAAATGTAGGAAGCTTTTATGAGGACTTTTGATAAAGCTTATTTAATTCCGTTGTTCACTAACGCGAGTTAGGTCGATAATTAAATGTGAGGATTGGCTACATGTACAAGTCAATAACAATCGGTCATAAGATCTAATTGGAGTCAGATCACGTGCCACTAAAAGATCTTTACGAAAGAGACTTCTCCGATCCGTTTCGCTTAGCTCTCTCCTCTTCGCTTCCTTCACTCTGTCTCTGATTGTCTGTTCAGATGAACGATTGTACGAAATATACGTATTCAAGATTCATTCTCGTATTCGACTTATTTACTTCCGTTATTCACTAACGCGATTTCAGTCGATAATTATATAGGAAGTTTGGTGGAATATATATTCCAATTGCACTCAGCATACGGTCGAACTGGAGCGAGATACAGGGCCACAAAAGTATCATACATAATGAATTCATGGTGCAGATCACCGAAACCTACTTCATCCAACCACTATCAATTTTGTTTAAAAAGATTTGGCTCTGCTTACGAATCGTTAGTTTATATGTCGAAAAATGGGTAACCACGTAGTTAAGTGAGCAGAAGCCTACTGTAACGGTTATCAAAAAATAATCGCCAGAATACATATACCAGCAAATCACCGAAAAACGATTTGTGGAAATTTAAATCAAAGGGAAGTATGTTCGCTAGTTGGGAAAACAAAACCTATTATTGTGTAAATTGAAGATATTTAACTTTAAAACGTAAAGAAGAATGTTGGTTTGAATAAACTATAGGCGAGAGGCTTCTGTGCTACTACTCAATAATATTTTCTTGCGGTTAACATAAAGTGAATACATAAAACTAAGCATAAACAGATAAATCAGATTAAGGAAAGGACCGAGTACATTCTATTTAATACTCAATACTAGTAAGCTAAAATTTCGGTGTTATTATTATCACTGTTAACTGAGATTATATCGCACTTAATCAGTTGGCAATCAATGTCCGTAGGTATGGTATGTGCTTTGCACCTTCGAAGTGCAAAGTTCTTCTACAAGACTGGCAGGATTCTAATCCTGTACTCACTCTGGATGGTGAGCAGATTGAAGTAGTCGAGAAGTTCGTGTATCTAGGTAGCTGCATAAGTGCTGGTGGTGGCGTGAGTGATGAGATCAATGCACGCATAGTGAAAGCCAGAGCGGCTTATGCCAATCTGGGCCATCTTTGGCGCCTTCGTGATGTTAGTCTGGCTGTAAAAGGTCGGATCTACAACACGTCGGTGAGAGCAGTTCTGCTCTATGCTTGTGAAACCTGGCCTCTCCGAATTGAGGATGTTAGACGGCTCTCTGTGTTCGATCATCGTTGTCTCCGAAGGATTGCTGACATTCAGTGGCAACACCATGTTAGTAATGCAGAGGTTCGGCATCGTGTGTTCGGTCACAGAGACGATAATGCAATTGGTGTCACCATCTTGAAACACCGACTTCGGTGGCTTGGACATGTTCTACGAATGTCGTCCCAGAGAATTCCACGTCGTGCATTATTTGCCGACTCTGGGACTGGTTGGAAAAAGCGGAAAGCTGGTCAGTATATGACATGGTGTCGTGGTATGAAAGACAGCTGCAAAGGGCTAGCTTCTGTTGGTCCTTCACGACTCCCTGGCTGGGGTCCGAGAGATGGTGTAACACAGTGGTTAGAGACGTTATCAGATATGGCTCAGAATAGAAGCCAGTGGCGATCCTGCTGTAACGTTCTTTTACTTTCTTCATAAAAAGTGGTTGCTCCTTCCTTAGCTGAAAGATTTCTTCTGATTGTACCTTTTCGTTTCCCCCATTATTACTATCACACTACCTTACACTAATCTTGTCGTTATTGTTCTCTTGCTTTTTTTTATTCACTACGCTCTTTGCCTTTTTTTTCCTTCTCTTTAAATTCTGATTGTTTTGTGTGGCGCATATATATTTGGTTCCCCCTTGTACCAATATTTATGTGTTCAAATAAATAAATAAATAACTTTGAGTTTGCCTCATAATGAATTTACCAGATAAATGGACAGAACATTGCAAACAGATGCAATAGCTTGTAATAAGGAACAATATTGTGTTCATGGACGTATTCTCTGATAAATGATAACTGTTCATAATTGACGTATGACGAGGTCAGCTACTAATATAGATACTTAAGCACAGGCTTCATTAATTATAAACAATTCCTGAGATACATGGTTAAATTACTGTTACAATTACAGTTGACTTTCTTGACGATAAGATGTTTAATGACAATCAATAACTATTAATATTCATAACGGATTGTAGTAATAACTAGTTAAGCACGACGGGTTTATGAAAGTGACTTGACATTACTCGATATTGATACACTGGGTCACATGTTCGAATCCAACTTGCATAGGTCGATCTAAACAGGGAGGTAGATATCATATGAAAAATGTAACTTGAAGCCCAGTTTACGAGCTAATACTTAGTTAACGATTCGGGCGGCTTAAAAACTGTAACTATATTTTACATATTATACTCATAAATATGATGCTGACACTATTAAATGAATGAACTACAAATCATATTTCATTCAATTACTTATGTTTAAGTGAATTTTAATCATCCTAATTTTTGGATTAAGCATTCTATAAACAATTATAATTTTCAATGATTAAGATCATGAGTCAGTTGAAGCTAGACCACCATAGTAACTCACTAAAGACAATGGTGGATGTGTCGCTCAATTTCGTGGATTAGTTGAAGTTAGACATTAACACCGTCGGATGCCAGCTCAGTGGTCTAGTGGTTAAGTGGTCGCGCGCGAAACCAGTAGGTCCTGAGTTCGAATCTCGCAGGGGGCGAGGTCGTGGATGCGCACTGCTGAGGAGTACCATAATAGGACGAAACGGCCGTCCGGTGCTTCCAGGTTTTCCATGGTGGTCTAGCTTCAACTGACTCATGATCATAATCATTGAAATTACTACAATCTCCACAAAACCCCTTCTGATAATTATCATTTTGTTAGAAAATACGATAGTAATTTTGTCTTTTGACATTTATCCATTGAAAGGGTGGCTGTGTCGATAATCGATATTTTATTAATAAACATCACTCGGCAACACTTTACGCCGATCCTCATGATTAATCGAATATCTACACACAAACATGAAGTTTTCACCTTTTATTTAAGAAAAGGTCATTATGACATACAGACTATGTTCACTTATGAGAAAACGTTTTTCCTAAAGACTCTTTACTATAGGTAAACAACAACTGATAATCATGTGGAACGGTGACTTAGTGGTTCAAGGATTTACACTCAAACTAATAGATCACAGATTCAAATTAAAACCAACCTACGCCTATTTGAGCATCTCGACAATAATGTAACATTAGCTCTCACAAAAAAAACCCTACAGATCAAAATCGATTACATAAACATGCATTAGAATAATGAGTTACATGATCATTCATGTCCACAAAATTAATACTATTGTCAAACTGAAGCAGAAAGATAAATAAGAACTGTCGTCTAAATTTGAACAAATAGTTTCACAATATTTGGGCGCCGAGTTATGTTAAGTAGGAGTGACAAATAAAATTTAAGTAAGAACAAAGCTTGATGAATTGATGTGTTCTATTAGGATATGTCAGTCATACGAATAGGTTATTTAGTGAACAACAAAAAGTAGATACTACAATGTTACTACAAATGATACGAACATTCATTCTGTTTCTTCGACGAGTTAAATGTTGAGAAACGTGTAAACACATAATTCTTTTGACTCATTGAGCCTTAGAGCTTATCCAATGTTCTATTTCAACTGCCTTAAAGGGTCAACACTGTCCTCCGCTTATTTAGAATAAATGAACCATCGTTATTGACTCAATGACCGCAGAAGATAAATTATTTTAAATACTTTTTCACTATTACTGACTAATAATAAGGAGTTGAAAGACAATACTTAGAAATCAAATGGTTATAGCCACAAATAGGGCTGTTACTACGTTCTCTTGAGATGAATTTCATGAAAGAATTTATCATAGTATCCACATTATAAATGTAGCGAATCCCCACTGCGAATGCACACTTCGTCATAATTGATCTATGTAATCAAATCATACAGATTTGGTCTTTTTTCAATCCATTTAATCGTCAAAACCCGAAAATCGGTTAATTTTTTCGTGATTGGAAATACATACAAAGTATATAGTTTCAACTCATTCTTCAAAACACCATTATTTCTTGCTATTAATGGGCTTAATTGAACAGGATTAAGTGAAGCAGTTTGAACTATGGGAAAAAGAAGATTCATAATAAATCTCTATTCAATTATATTTTACAAAATACTGTGATTGGTCATTTTTGAAAATAAATTGATGAGAGAATTGTTGAAAGTAAATGACATCACTACGAATATGAAAGTAATTAATAAAGTGTAAAGAAAACGACTAACAGATCAGTATTCCTTATGTTTGCCTATTTCATTATAAGTTTTGCGTTAAAGTTTAAAAAATCATTTAAATCCCATTAATTTTTTCGAAGTAACAGTTCATTAGTAATATATATATATATATATATATATATATATATATATATATATATATACAAAAATTCCCTAGTACTTCAGAATTTAATGCTGGGAGAAGGGTCATGTTGATGACCCTCATCATAGTGTCTAGTAGCTCGTTTTTTATAGTACGTTTTTGCATACGAATCAAATTAAACATGGTAAATAATTTACACTGCGGAAAAATAAATTGAAGCTTTATACTTCTATGATAGTTTATTAATGAATGGCACTCTATCAATAAATTAGGTTTTTACTGCAAAATGTAGGGAAATTATATCTATTTTTATAGATTTCTAAACAAATTTATTTCAGATGGATAACTCAAGATGAAAAAAAGTGACATATGTGTTGATAAAGAAACACAAAAAATTATAACTTACCATAAGAGATTTTTCTTTCACTAAGATATGTCCTCTTTCTATTGCTTCACTAATTGGATAGATTTGATTATGAACAGGATCTCGAAATGTACCAGTTTCCATGTCCAATAGATGACGGCGAATCGCTTCTGATTGTGTGATCTTACGTCTACTAATTGGATCTATAACATCTAATATATCATCAGATCGACAACTATGTGTAAACCATGAATCATTCAGTGTTTTATTTATTAAATTATCACTATGTAAACCTGGACCAAGCCATCCTAAACGTGTTATAAAGCGTTGATTAATTAAATAAGCCAAAGAAGGACGATTGATAGATAAGCCTAACAGTAATTGAGCCCCAACTGGTGATATATCAATATTTTTCATTGTCTTCATATTTGGCGATAATATTATAGAAGATCCACTAATAGGATCTGTTATTTGTCCATATGTTATAGTTGAACCAATTTGAAAATCTTCACATGGTTTTAACCAACCAGAGTTAAGTGCTTCCAAACCAGTTAGCTCACGACCATCTTCATTGAATAATCCACATCCTTGAGTTAATAACTGTATAGAGTGTAAGTCACACAATCCTGAATGCTTAGCCGATTTTCTTAAAGAGATACGTTGTTGCGAAGAACTTGTACCGTGTTGATGTGGGTCTGTGCTAGAAAGAACAATCTTCTCTTTCGACGAATCAATTAGTCCTGTAAGAATAGCTTGTAATATAGGATGTTGACGATACACCTGATTTGATTCCTTAGTACCTAATAATAAACCTACAGGCGGTGGATACGATTTAGTATATATAAGTCGAATATAATTATTGTTAACTGCATCCCACAAATTCATAGGTTTATTTTCCAAAATTATAAATCCTGACGGCGTGATTAGGTTTGTATTCAGAGCTTCGACTAAAGTCAATACTTGATTAGGTTGGGATTGCATAAGAATTATGGCTGGTTGATTTCCAACTATCATTCCACGTTTAATTGCTTCTGGAAACAATACATATTGACCAGTATGTGCATCAAGAATGCCCACATTGTTTCTAGGATGTTTTTCGCTTATGTTCGGAGCAGTGAACGATAATAGACCAGATAAAACAATTTCAGCTAGACAAGGAGCTTTAGTTAATAAGCCAGCAGCTTGAGCCACTTCCACACCAACCTTCATTCGACTGGAAGATGAACTTAATCCGAGCCAATAACCAGATACATCATCAACAAGACCTATTTGAACAGCTTCAGACAGACTGACACGTCGATAAGAGGTAGCATGGTAACCACCCACCTGGTTTTCAATAGGGACAATGACTTCTGGGACAGTATTGTCCAAAAGTCCATTTTTAATTGCATCTCTGATTGTTAACTCATTTTCAGTGAACACTAATGAATTATTCGATGCCTTACTTTTGCTATTACCTTTTCCAAACTTTAGTAAACTGACACGTAAACGTCGTGTATTTGGATTGTACGCACCAGCAGCTAACCAATCAGATAGACAAGGTTTCCAAGATATATCTGCTTGACCAATGTTTAGGGCTTCATACCATGTCAAGTGACAATCTCGAAATTCTACACACATGCCACTTGATAGAATAGAAGCTAAATGATGAAAATCTGCCTCATTTATGAATCCATCTGAGTATAAATCAATAATCTTTTTGCCATATGGCATGACTACACCAGTCTTTGGGTCGATATGACGATCGATAGGGTTACGCGAAGGACCAGTCAGAAAATCTGTTACAGATGCACTATAATCACCAATTTTTATATTTCTATTTAAAGCCTGAATAGTATAGGCAGTTAACCAGCCACGATCAATAGCTTCAGACCAGGAAATGGCAAGTGAACTTCGATTTTGATGACAGTTATGCCCAACTAAATCAATTAATCCACATCGTAGTGCATCTCCTAGGCAAATAGTTTCCCCAAGTCCATATGTTTCATTTTCACCAGCTAAGTTAGTCACAAACCATGCGCCAGTAGTTGGAAAAATTTTTGGTCCATATAATTCACGTGCTTTGGATATTGTAGTCAATGTAGCTGCTTCCCAACCAGTTGGGAGTAAACACACCGGTTGACTTCGCACATCATTAAGATAAACACTATATTTGAGTCCTTTTTCCCCGATTAGTTGACTAAAATACGATAAATCTGAATGGTTTTTATCTTTTGAATTATTTGCGACTTTTAATGGTAATGTGTGGCCTTTTCCATTTTCTTGATACTCTGATCGTGATACTAAGGGAGAAAAAGACGGTTGAGTTTCCTTTAAACAATTGTTTAATTCATTTGGCCATTTGCCTATGTATAGTTCACGATAAGGCTTTACAAAAATTGGACCAGATAAATTCATAGAGATAGGTTCTTCGGATCGCAGAATCTGATGTAAAAAATAATGATAAAGGGAATTACGAGAAAACAAAAGTATATACATCATTTATTAATAATAGATTTGAGTTTTCCCAAGTATCGATTTGTCTTCTCTACGCTCAAAAACTCGCATATAAGTAGTCAGACATACAACGAAAGGGTCATATGTGAGTTATTTCAGTTGGATGGGAATAAAAAGTCTGGTGTATTAAGGTAAGAGATATCTAAAAGTATCTTACAAAATATGACTAATTGAATATTTTTGGAGAATCTAACTCACTAATGAGAGTTTGTGCATTTGGCTGTCATCCGCACTACTTGTAAATGAAGGCTAGTGATACTACTCAGATGTTCAAACTGAAGTATATGGAGCGAAACTTGAACATAAACGTCTTAACAGTTAGTTGTCTCATTCTCTATGGTGATATGAAGTTTATTTATTCAACTCATATAAACACCAAAAACAGTATGCGTCACATAAAAATACTTGTATGCAAGCTAGAATACTATCCGCTAGTCCAAACAGAACCAGGTATTTTTCTTCAGGGCCCACATCCAAAGACTATGATCTAAAAGTCTAATCTTTAGGGCAGGGCAGAAACATCGGGAGCTGTTGCTTTACGGCAGAAAGTGACCATAAACAGGTCTATACTCCGTTTGTTCCCTCGGGATTCTAGAGCCCACGTGTACCACTGATTCGAAGTTAGAGTTTACCAAATTCCCTAGGTGAACGTATCCACTGATACAGTTTGCGTAATGAACGACCACTTTTCGTCCTTTCAGGTTTGCGATATGAAATATGGCAATGTGAGTTGATACATATTCACACGAGGTTCTGTATAATGTCATTAATGACAGGCCTATGAAATCATAAACAGTATTTGATAAACATACTTTTACAAAAGGGTAAAACTGAGTGGATAGCCAAGAAATATCGTTATTTTATTTAGAATATTTCAATAAGAACACTGAAATAAGCGAATATCAGTCATCTGACAACTAAAATCAAACAGTAACAAAATATGTACTCATGATTCTGATCAAATCATTATTATCATTATTCAAACAGAAAAATTACCCGATTTAAACAATTCACTATATCATATATACGACGAGAATGTGTATTAAATTGTTCATTCAACTGATCAGCTGTTTGTAATACTCTACCCATATCAAATAAACCATATCCTGGTGACCATTGATAATCTCGTGACCCACCAGCTTTCTGAAACACACTCTCAACTAATTCACGATAATTTTGAGTATGTTGCGCATAATTCTATAAAACAGACATTTATAAAAAAGAGGAAATTAATGGAAAGAACCTTTTTTAGTCAAAATAGTGATGAATTTTAAAGTGACACTTTGTTAGTTAAGGATAATATTGATGATTAGTAGAAGGATTCGAAGAGACATTGAATTCATATTGATGATTGAAAACTGATCAGTTGGTCGATCACACACAACGTACAACATAATACATATGTGTATTCGTTTAGGTTACCACACGAAATCAGAACAGAGGAACGGCAGAGTAGCATAAGTAATAACAGTATTAGGTGTATTAGGGTGAGTGAACATGTACCCAAATGGCTGCAGAAACAAATACAATCAAGTGACCCAATAAGAGCAGAAGATAAACATCCATCATCCTCTATTGCTAAACATATAATTGAAACAGGCCATAAGATTGATCTAAACTCGGCTTTTGTGGTATTGTATTAAAGTGTAAAAGGGCGTATACTAAGGTCTATCGAAGCCTTAGTTTCGTTTTAGTACAGAAAATGTAGGGTTTTTTTCAGTATTTTAGATGTCCTTGGGTTGCCCGAAGATTCTGGAATGCTACTAAACATAGTAGCGGTATAACAATCAACCAATCAGAACCTCTACATGTGACGTTTCACATCCTTGATGTTTCTGGCTAAACTGCAAGTGAACGCTGATTGGATGAAATGCTTCTTAAGATTTCCTGATCCCTGCGTGTCTTTTGCGAGAACTTTTCTGGATCATCCCAAGTTGAGAAGGACAAATTCAAAAGAGCACTACTGAAAGGGGAAGCAGAGGGGACAAGTCAGCCTAACCCTATTGTCCCAGATGGAAAATCCCCTGCTGAAGCGATGTTAGGGAGAAGCATCCGAACTACATTCGACGTCATGTTACAACCTAAACAAATGGATAGACGCAAACAAAATCAGAATATCCGTAGTTTTAATATCGGTGATAAAGTGCTCGCCGAACCATACATCAGGAAAAATCGCTGGGGGAAGCAGGACCAATCAGTACTCAAGGCTGCTCGCTCGTATTTTATACGTCACTGTTTCGATCGATAATTCGCTGCAACTCTCCAATCCGCGCGCCTCACAAGATATAACAATTGGCGACGGGGTAGAAAAAATTCTGAACTCTCAATCTTCAACGTCAGCCTGTAATTAGACGAGAACCAATCTAATTATTTCGAGCAATCAGTATTCAGTTTTGTCATCGGCGTCCTTGAAAGACATTGGTTGTTAATTAATCATACAGCATTTCTCTTTACTGTGCTGATCCAGAAAATGGCTATCTCTCCCGATCAATTCCAGTTACTATTTGAGCGACAACAGCAGCGGTTCAAAAATAGCCAGTTGGATGTTTTAGACAATTTACGCACACGACTGCTAAATCATCCATGTATTGGAGATGTAACAGAAGTTGATAAATTAATTTCTAATTTGCATACCGAGCTGGCAAATTGACTGCAGAACATACGAATGTGTCGATGAAAGTCTCTATGAATCCTTGATAAGCAGTAATGTAAGCGAAGCAGTCATTCACGATGCGCCCAGTGATCCAGAAACGTCCATTTCAGAGACATGCCCTGTCGTGGGTTCAAATCCCGTTGCCCCTGAAGCACCATGTACAAACACTGACTTATCCAGCTCACAGAAAGTCGACGTCTTATTAAATGCTCATGAAATTACTGCAGTACCCGCTCACGAAAAGACAGAAAATGAGTCAAGCATCATAGTGACTACATTTGCATCAAAAAGAGCTCATCATTGCAGAACAAAAGTTCCTGATCAATCTACTTACCGTGGTTCTCTAGTTGTTCTACCAGGTATGAGTTATCTTAATGACTCCTATGCTTTTGATCAAATTTCTTACAAAAATGAGAAAAATTTTTCGGATGCATCAAACGATAATCAAGAACCTGGTGCAGTTTTGTTGGACGCTGATTATCATAGTGATCCATTATCTATTAAGATTCGAACTCCGATGACTTCGAACTAAATGGCGTTTATCCTCACTATCTGGTCAGTTTTACTGGATCCCCTGTTCAAAATGTTTTAAATACAGTCAAATTAATTGTAATTTGGGTATATGAGGACCCAACATTATTTCGTGGGGGGAGGATGGACCCGGGAAACTTATATTTCGGATATCAGGTTCGGATCTTGAAAAAAAGGGAGGTGTTGGGGTATTCAGAAAATACCCCAGAAATTATCTAATGCTATTCCTGGATGAGAAATGGTGTCAGTTCCCCATCGGTCAATATTCTTCCAACGTGTCATTTTCCCGTTGTTCAATATTTTATTTGTGTCATTTCCTGGAGGTCAAATCTTGTACAAATGTTACTTTCTATTTTATGGTACGATGTAGTCTGTTTGTTTGGTATATAAACAGAGTATGTTTGAAATATAATGATTCATATCACCGAGGCTGAGGTTTGTGTTCTGGACTCAACTGGCTAGGCTAGACATGGAAGCAGGACCAATCAGTACTCAAGGCTGCTCGCTCGTATTTTATGCGTCACTGTTTCAATCGATAATTCGCTGCTACTCTCTAATAGGCGGATCACAAGATATATATATATATATATATATATATATATATATATATATATATATATATGAGCATTTTCTTGATAATTGGTCATAATTATGGAAAAACAGTTCAAAATTACTTACAGTTAATGAAGATATTAAATGAGCTACTTCTTTATTCAATTGTTCCATAACATCTGAATTAACTTGTAAATCTGTTAGTAAATCATCAGATTGTTTGAGAATTTCTTTTAACAAACTAGTGTTTTGTACAGTAATCATATTTGTATTGGATGATTTTAATCCTAAAGACTGAGCCATTTCACCAAATAATCGCATACGAGAAGAGAATTCACTTGACCATACAATAAGTTGACTGGATAACTTTTGATAGTTTGAGAAACAGACCAGTGATTCACCAAATGATTTAAGTCTATTAATACGGAAAAAAGATTCAAAAAACCACGAAATTTTGTTTGTTTTGTAAAGATTCGATAGACAGACATCTTTGAACAACCTGGGTTTGATGTGTCTAACAAAAAATTTTGTACTTATGATAGATTATCTGATAATAATCGAGTTTTCTGTCTTCCATCCCAACGTCAACTGCTAAATCATTAAATAAAGCTATATCGATTACAAACATCTTCACCGTAGAATTTGTAGTTAGACAGATGGACAATATCATTTCAATAACAAAAACAACTATTACAAAAATAAACGAAGCGAGATTGTCAGTCTCAAGTCTAAGGACGCTTACTTTGCCTAGTGCAAAAGGTGAATGCCGGCCCTTAGTGAAGAATCATTACGGTTCTGTTTATTGGTAATATTGGTGTGCTTAAATTACGATGTAGGTTGTTAGATTACTGATATAATCTTAGAATTTTTTGAACTACAATTTGGACACTTACTCCAGTGATTATGAATGCCTTATAATAATAATAATATTGATAGTAATTTATACCGACCGATCCAACAAACAGAATATACATAAATAGGGGATTTTGATAACTAAGCAATCAAAAGGATTGTCAATTTACTAAAACTTTTGTAGTTTACATAACAAACTGATTCTAGTTAGGCAATCATTGAAAACCAGGAGACGATTTCAATAGCTGGTTTTCAATGTGAAAACAATGAAATTCAACAATCTCTAGAACTCCCACCCCCAATATACTAATAATTAATAATAAGTAGTGAATAAATTTTGTTAAAAATAACAAAGAAAATTATTGTTCTTATTGTGATTTATTTCTCAAGTGATAGGAAATTTAATTGTGGCACAAAAATTCACACATCCTTTTCTTCAATAACTGTGAAATATCTTGTTAAATAAGAAACAATGAAGTTGAAATTTCGTTACGAATGTTTTTATTATATTTTTACAAGTTTATCAATGCTTAGATAATAGTGGTTTGATTTCTTTTTTTCCATACCTTATACCTGTTACCCCTCGTGGAGAAGCACAGACTAACCACCAGAATTTTCTATCCAACTATGTCCTGGGCAATTCTTTCCAATTGTTTTAAATCGCCATTCATTCTTTTGATGCCTGTCTTTAATTCCCGATGCAATGTGTTCATTTGTCTTTTTCTTTTCATTTTCCCTTCAGGATTGTATAGTAGAGCTTGGCTCGTGTTGCAGTCTGATGATTTCTGTGATATAAGCACTAACCACCTCCAGTGTCACTTGAGTAAACAATTGGTTATAAATACCTGTACATTTTTAATGCTGCTTGTAGTGGTTCTTCAAGATTTAGCTCTATACAGTAGAACTGTCTTAACATCCGTATCGAAGATCCTCAATTTGATATTGGTTGATAGTTGTTTTGAGTTCCATATGTTCTTCAACTGTACAAATGCTGTCCTTACTTTGCCAATCTTTGTCTTTAGGTCTGCACCGGATCCTTCTCGTTCTCCGATGATGCTGTCCAGGTAAGTGAAAGTTTCCAAATCTTCCAGAGCTTCTCCCCCCAACTGTGATTGGATTGGTGCTCTCTGAGTTGCTTTGGGGATCTTGCTTTTCCCTTGTGTATGTTGAGGTCTACTGTTGCAGAGGCTGCTACTACACTGTCTGGCTTAGTTTGGATCTGTTGTTGTATATGGGATGATCTCAATGATGTTTAAGACTTCAATTGATCAGTCTCTTTTGGTATATGTGCATCTTGTGAGGATCGCATCGATAATCTCACTAATTCATAAGGATTATAAGCAGATTCCACTGTTATCTATGACACATCTCTACTTCGAAATATAAATTTTTTTGGAGAGGCGAATATTTATTTCACACATATTGACTACATAATTTATTAAGTATGCTTTCCTCTTAAATGTGATCCTAGTAACATTCATCAGTCAGTTCATAAACAATGGAGGATCTCGTGCACATATACATCAATCTGAATTACCATATGAAATAGGCTCAGTAAGATTAACTGAACAAGATGAACACAAAATGAATTCGAATAGTTTTAATAATAATGATAATAAGAAGGATCAAAGATAGCAAATATGTTTTGAAGGTAGGAATAAAATAAGACAATAAAAAGTATGAAATAATATTGAAATTCAAGATATAGGATAAGATAGATAATTAATATATATACATGTCTACAACCAATTTTCAGTAATATCACCCCAGGTCTAAAGACACTGATCACTATTAACTTCATAAACTCCAACTTTCCAGTTTGTACTTTATCATATTGCGAATTTCAATAGCCAATGATCTCATGGTTTAATATCATGTTCAGGGCTAACCACTATGTCTTTGTTTTTTTTTACTTTCTCCCATACCAATCAGTATGAGGTCTAGAGATAAACAGTATTTAAGGCATCTCTAACATATTTATAAGCCTTATTAAGTTTAGGAATATTTGTTAACCAAGACTGAATTCTACCACTTTTCTAACAAAAAAGTATTCTTAATTTTAAAAAGTGTTATGATTAAAATATTTCTGTCATCTATTAACTTCAAGTTTAATCTACATATTTAGAATTATACCAACGTAGTTGGTATAAATGAAGCTTTGGTGTACGGTCAATATATTTCTGCTTTATATTGATAAACTGCAGTTTCCTCCACTAACAAAAGAGGAAATGTTGCTTCAGTAATACAAATCGAAATATGAATATTAAGATGTTGTCTGTAATTTAATTTACATGCCAAAAAATTTTATGAATCTAACACTTGACCAAGCCGACAATACAGAGAGTGAAAGTAAAAGTTGCGTAGGCAGCTAGCTGCATAGTCAATCATAACATTTACAATTGCATGCGTACTTTTAGTTGACTAGACTGATCCAGATTAAAAAAATATGGGGGCGATCATCTTGGTTAGATGGAGTTAATTCATTTACCGTAGATGTAGTGTGATCAGTCTGAATTTGTTCGATATATCAATCATGAAAAATTTTCTAAACACAAAAAATAACAATCACACAAGCCTACAACTACATGTATGATAAACTAATTTTTATAAAAAATGTTTATACTAACAGACGGATGTCAGTGAAACGTACAGAAGGAAATAAAATTTCAGAAATTATTCAACCAATCAAAACATAATAAGCTCACTAAGTGAATAATAAGCTCTAGATTTTATTCAAATAATTAAGTGATTTTATGTAAAGTTTATCAATCAAACATACTGATCATTCGACAGACAGAAGATATATGCACACAAATGAAGTTGATACCTCCTGACCTTCTGACGAAACGGCCATCCAGTGCTTCCAGGTTTTTAATGGTGGTCTAACATCAATCGGTTCATGATCTCAATCAAAAACTTGGCAATCTCCACAACACCTAAGTTGATAATTACAATGTACTCACTAGTGACTGGCTTAGTGAGAAAATTCTCGGAGTTCTGGTGAGAAGTCGTGACCAGTGGAGCTAATCTGTGTCGGGTAGAAACAGGTGTCTACCTTAGTACAATGGAGGATAGTCGCGCAACTCCGTGGATTGGTTGAAGTTAGACATTAACACCATTGGACGCCGGCTCAGTGGTCCAGTAGGTTGTGTTCACGCGCGAGACTGAAGGCCCTGGGTTTGAATCCCGCGGGCGGGATCGTGAATGCGCACTGCTGAGTCCCACAATAGGACGAAACGGCCGTCCAGTGCTTCTAGGTTTTCAATGGTCGTCTAACATCAATCGGTTCATGCTCTCAATCAAAAACTTGACAATCTCCACAACACCTATGTTGATAATCTTCGATTACTTAATTCCCGAAAAAAACCAAATGGTGTTAATGGGGGTACGAGAAAAGTAGTCATAGTCTACGGCATTTCGATTAGTGTACAGATAAGGATAGAATAACAATTACATGTGTGTAAGTATGTCCTTAATTTATCGAATGCTCTCACCGGCCCGAGTAACATTATAGCGACCGTGGTTGTTTTCACTGACCCAAGAGACAAATTTTTAAACGTATACCAGTGAATATTTAAAAAAGGGTAGTGATTAGTTTAAATGTTATCGAGATATAGGCTCAATGTGTCTAGGCAGAATTTTTTCCGTCAGAATGTATGGCGATATAGTATACTGAGAAACAAGTTATCTGTCTTAAACTGGATTCTAAATTAAATCTAAACTAGTGATGGCGTGAATGCTAAAGCTTATTGTTATTAAAATGGTAATCACTTCACAAATTATTGGCTTTTTATTCATCTGCAAATGATGAAAGCCGATCAAACCACTCATAAATATATCAATATTATTGGGAGAAAGTTTTAAGGAGTCCAGAGAGGGAAGGCGTGAATGGGTATGAATAATAAACTTAAACCATAGTCAAGCAACAGCCTACTGTGGGAGAGGACAAACCAGCTTTTAGCTGAAGAAGAAATTAAGAAAAGACGATGGGAGTGGATAGGAAATCCATTACGGAAATCACCAAACTGCATCACGAGGCAAGACGTAACTTGGGATCCTGAAGGGAAACGGAAAGGACGAAGGCCGAAGAACATACTGCGCCCAGAATTAGAAGCAGACATGAAAAGGATGAATAGCAACTGGAAAGGATTGCCGAGGACAAGATTGGATAGAGAGTGCTGGTGGGTGGCTTATGCTCTCCCACGAGGGGTAACAGGCGTAAGTAAGTAAACATGATTACCGAATGAAATGTTGAAACTATCTAAATTCAAATTTCTGAGGTTATTACGAATATAATTTACTACCTCATGTCATAGATGTCATACTAGATATCATGAAATGAATGATTTTAATACCCAGAAAACACTTGAAAATTGCACAAATATTCACTCACTCTTGTTCAACTTCTTTAGTTGCTTCAGCTAGACGATGTTCAGAACAAGCAAGATTTGATTCTAAATAATGATTATCAGTACAAGGTGATAAATGCATCTTTAACAGGTTTGAATTCTCACATAGGTTAGTAGTGTCATACTGGAGCGTTTCGTTAAATGCCTCATTGGAAACCATAAATCTAGTTAATTGTTGACTAAGTAAATCTAGATCAGATCGAATTTGAGGAAGACGCTCAGCTACCGACTAAAATAATAATAATAACAATAAAGTTAGATAAATGTTTTCCTAAGCAAATCATTTAACAGTCAACATACTTATTATCCATAAATACAGTTATTTCTTGAATTTCAGCTTCGTAGTGTGATCAATAAAAGGGAAATAAGTATATACGCAGTTTGAGTAATTTCCCGAACTAGTTACAACAAGCACATATAAAACAAGCATGACTGTCTACAATTACAATAAACCATTGCAACCCGTGAAGAAATTTAATATATGGCATTTTTCCTATGTCAGGCTACATGACCAAATGATTATTTTATAAGGGAAACATGTTCACTGGTAGAGTGCCTGAGTTGATGTACTTGATGAACTTAAATAAAATCGGACTATATTAACTGTCTTCACGTAAACAATTATAAAGTAAAATATTAAAAATTTCCATCGCGCAAAACGACACATCAGCAAACAGTATTGTTTTCAATCAGATATATTACACAATTCATCATAAGAAATAAAAAGTACAAATTGATTGTTCGGTTTCAATGCATACGTAGTGAAGAAGAGATCGCCCATTGGATTTTTTTTTCTGAACAACACAGTGAAAGGGGTATTACAAGATCTTTTTAGATACACACTGTATCTTGTACCATATGTCAAAGACAAGATCGAAACTTGAACGCAAATCACTTTGAATGCTTCGATTCTGTCGAGGACGTAACTACTATAGGAACAAGTGTGATAGTACGCAACTGGGTATGAAACTTTCATTAATTCAGCAGACTACGAGAGATGCTTGAAAACCGATTGGCTGATTTATCTAGTAGTACGGCCATCATAGTTTAATTGGTCTCATATTTTCATGTGTAGGAATAACTATTACTGTATATTAGAGTAAAGATTGATGACGATCTAATTGAAATCAATATTATTCTCTAAAATATGTTGTTCCAGTTATTTATTAATCGAAACATTTTGTGATAAGCATTTGTAAAACAACTACACAAAATACCAGTAAAATTATATAATGAAACGCACCTTTAAATCTCGATGAGCTCTTTCCACCACTGTAACACGAAGACCATCTGGATCAGTTGAACTATTCAAATCATCAAGTTGTAATAGACCATGTACACGAACTGCACAACCTAGTAGACACAATTCACAATCCGTTAGTATTTGATCTGTTTGTTCTAAACGAGCGATCCATGCGTCAGCATCAGCCAATCGGCAAGAAAATTCATGACCAGTTAGTGCTAGTTCACTAGCTGCTCTATGTAGAGCATAAAGACTTGTACTCAACAGTGTATCTTGTTCATTCAACGATCGTGATTGTAACTGATTATTAATATGTTCTTCTAATTCTGTACATTGAGCACGAACACGAGCTAAAGCATGAGACCATTCCTATGATAGAGTTTTTTTTGTTATTAGAAAAAAAAGAGTGAGAAGATATTTTAAAACTAGTTAAATAATAATAACTTTTTAATTGATGAAACATAATTTGTGTGAAGTGTTTATGGAGATTGTTGTATGTCATAGGTTGTGTCACAGACTGAAATCAATCAAACAATCAATGAAAATCGATAGGAATGGACAACTGTTTCCTAATATGGGACCCGTCATAAATGTGGTCAATGATCCTAGCAAGAATGCAAGTCACATCCATCAAGTCTCTTAGCAATAGCTTGGTATTTAGACCATTAGTGAGAATCCAATACTTCACATTTCGAGATATTACCCAACCATCTACTAATGCTTTTGTAAATAAATTTCTTACCTACAACATAGTTAAAGTTCACTGATTGTCCATCTAAGTCTAGTCCTTGATGTAAATTGGGCAAACATAATTAAAAATGGATAAAGTTAAAAACATAGTGACCAATGTCAGTGGATAGAATATAGGAGTTGATAGCTTACAACAAGTGATGAAATACGATTACTATTAATATTTTCACTATCGTTCATGTATGATTTGTACTTACATAAAAGAAATAACGTAATTTTATTCATGCGATAAATAAAAATGAATAAGACAAGTTAATTTTCACATACACAAACAGCATCAAATTTCTTAGAACACGTTAGTCATCAATAATAAGTAGTATAAAGTTTAACCTCCAAATTTCTTAAAGAAAGTTTATATGGCAAGAGTTAAAAAATCGGAAGTCCAAGGTCTATTATACTACATGAATATTGGGACAAAAACAGTTAAATATTTGAAAGATAAGAAGGATTTTCCACATGGTAATGAAAAAGAAAATCTATCCAACCTGAGTTAAATCTTACATTTAAATTATTTACTATACAACAATCTTGTGTAATCCTTTAACTTCAGACGAAGTTCATATATCAAATAAATTCAATATAGCCTGAGAGATCACACGCCTTTAACCACTCAATATGAAATACATCTCAAGATATTGCGATCAATTTATTCAAACTAACATTTTCTCTAAGCACCACCTGATAGAAGGGATGTGTCAATGGTTAAGGAGTTCGACTTTCGAGCAATAACTTGCAGGTTCGAACCCCATCCCATCTACTTTAGTCTGGATAGCAGGGTGGTATCATTACCCTACACAGTTATGGCGTACCTAGGGACTCAGTATACGATTATGTAACTGGGAAATTAACTAACAAAAATTACCTAGTCATTTAAATATTCCTTACATTTAAAGATAATATATGAATGATCAACTTCATTTTCTTTCCAGCTGCTTATATATTTGGAAATTTTTGTGAGATTCCACGTGTATATAAAACATAAGCTCAATAAATTATCTGCAATTTACTAATTAAGTCGTGAAGTAATGAAGATATGAGTAAATCATTGGACTTGCAACCAGTTGGTTGAAAAGAAAAATCATGTAAATTAATCTGAAATCGGTCACTGAGTGCTATCAAGCCGAGTGCATGAAAACTACAGCCGTAATGAATTATGTAAACACACAGATAATTGGATAGGAATTCATTAAAGTGAATAGTTTGTTTAATTATTCAAATATAATACAGAAGAACTTCATTTATGTACACAGATGTTTGAAAATCGAGATAAAGAGAGTTATTTTTTCTTAACAACAGATTGAGGAATGTTATTGTGTTGACCGAGAAAGCGCAGGTCTTGGATTCAATACAGAGTGGGTTCGTCGATGAGTACTTCTGAAGAAGTTTCATTTTAGGAGAAAATACCTATTCAATGCATCCTGGTTTTCTAACCTAGGTTTCCTCATCATCTCAATAACTTGAGTTTTATTTATTCACACATAATTAATTAATTAAATAAACAACAGTGTTTTATAGTACACATAACAACACAATGAGAAGAAAAAAACCTACAAGAGAAAAGTACATAAAAACAAAATTCTTTCATTTTGCTTTCCACACAAATACTCTCATGATGAGAAATATTTAATTTAAAACTATACGTTTTCTTATTATCTTTTATCAAATTTCAAGTATATCAATTATTTAACAAATTAGGTAAGAATACAAATATATTTATAACAAGATACAGGTTAGTTATTTTGTAGAAAAATCTAATATGTAATAGGTTTAACACAATTTTGAATCTAAATTATTTTAGTTCAATTATTTAGTACATTTCCCTTTTTCACCAAGTACATGTTTGTGTAGTCGGCTTTGAACCACGATTTTTTTTTGAAATGACTAGTGATATGACACAGATGACCTAAGTACTACATAGACAGAAGTTTGAACTACTAAACTACTGATTGAAAGCCGAACGCTTTAACTGTTGTATTATTGTTTATTGTGTTCAAGTATAGGCTGGAAATATACAGTCAAATGTCTTAGAAGCGTTGGACATAGACAATGGGACCACTAAGTAACTATAATTACAATTTTAACAGTTAATAAGGCTATTATTCTTCATCGACATTTGTTATTCAGTATTCATTCACCAAAACGCTAATTATAAACCTTCAAGTTAAAGAAATAATTAAAGCTAATGAAAGTGGTATAAAAAAACTGACCTTGTGATCCTTAATACGAACTTCCATATCTATTGATCTACCTGGTAAGGGTATTGAATTCGACTCCCTAAGACGTACTGTCAACGTACTCAACACTGTTCTCAGTTCATCCATAAGTGAATTAATTTCTGATGATTTAGTCAATAAACCTTCATCACCAATACCAGTCTTGTCATCATTAGTTTGAACACCATTCATCTGTTTAATGCAACTATTTTGAAAATCTAGAAAATTTTGCTTAAATTTCTCCACTTCTGTCGCTGGTGCATTACCTAGCTGCAATTCTAAACAATAACGTTCGGCATCACGATAGATTACCTGAATAAAAAAAACGTCAACATATGAAAAGGATAAACAGGTTCACTTACAATGTATTTTTGAAGAGAATTCAGTAATTCCCACTACAGTTTTTCATTAGATAATGAGATCAATTTAAAAGAAACGCCGAAAAATTCCTATCACATTAAAACACAATTATATGTACACGGAAATGAAAGCATCATTGGAAAAAAAAACGATTGGAAATGGCCGATTAATATGAACAGTTGTGTATGTAGTTAATTGGAATTCTTAACTAAAAAACATCAGATAACAGGATCTTCGGATTTTGTGGAGAAAAAGCAACTGATGGAATTTCACATAACAGCATGAGACAATGAGTGAATGAAAATGTACAATTAGTAATTAAGTTTATCAATACTAAATAATCCAGATTTATACTGACCCAATAGAAGTCATGTCAACAGAGTTAATGACTTGAATTTCTAGCGATTCCGATTGTCCTGTCATTGATATTTTGAAGCGCTGCACAAATAAGTGAGTATTTGGACTTAGTAACTAAGTGGACAATAGGGTGAGGTTTGAAGGAAATAGCAATGGGTTCGAGTCCCAGAGAGAATCGTGACTATAAGATGCAGGTACATCTAACTGATAAGTCCCAAATACAACGAGACAGATGTCTTAGATTTCAATTATGTCCATATTCCATCTATTTTGTATAAAATGGTTTATGACTGATTTAAACATTTGTCGTATTAAGTATCATTCAGAATAAGATTTCATTAAATTCCACAAATACTTTATAGAAAATCAGATACAAAGTTAATTAGATGATTATGCTGTAAAATCATTTTCATTCTGATAAATATTTAGTCTTATCAAGAAATCTGCCCATTTTTCTTTTTTAAGTTAAGAATTAAGGATTGTCATCAGTTTTTCTGTTCTATATGAAGTGTATTTTTGACTCAGCACTTGATAGTCTACACAGAAAGCGCGAATTGAAAGCTTTATGAACTGATATCATTTACATAACGAATTCAAACACTAAGGAATATTAGATATATATTTTATTTTGGGATGAAACTCGATAGTAGATTGCACTTATCAAGTCTTGCGATGAGAGCAATAGCTCTCAACCAATGAATCAAATGGTCTGCACTTTTCAGTTTCATCAATCGATAAGATAGATCAATCATCAACCTATTTCAAATAAAGATGTTTACCTAGTTCATAGCTTAGTTAATCCACTGGTTACAAGCTTTTAATTAAAACCTGAGAAAAACCATCTCAAATTAAATCATAACGTAAGTACCAGATTATTGTAGAATTATTTCATAATTAGTATTTATAATAACATAATAACATAACAACATAATACAATAATGAATGAAAATTAAAACGTGAACATCACAGCTGGATGGATATAAGTGTAAATGTGTATGTGAATTATTTTTTTTCTTTAAAAAAAGTTCAAATTCTTTTAGTTAAGACTTTATATTATATGAAAGATAAAGGGTTAGATAGCAAAAAAAAAACTTTGGGTTAAACATAATCATGTGATTTTACCAATAATGGTAAGTAATGCAGAAGCGGTACATACAGAATGTGAGATATAGGAAACAGGGGAACTATTAAATAATAATAATATGTGGTTCATGTGAAGAAATAGTGTTTTTAGTTTTAAAATAATGAAATATATGAGTATCATTATATTAATTGATAATAGAAGGCAATGACAGAATATAGGTTATTGACATAACTGAGTGAAGTAATACGATGATAACGAACGAATTACATAGAATAACACGTGAATAATCAATAACAACCGTTTTTAACTTAATACTTTATATATAACTGAGACATATGAATATAAAGAAAACAATAGCTGATCTGTGGTTGTGAAGACATGTAGTTTAGTTAAATGATAAGTATTTACTTGAAGGTTTAACGGATCTTAAATTATAGCGCAAAAAAAATCGCTGTATCCTTCACACTGATAAGTTCAACAATAAACACACTTTTAATAGGATTGTTTATATCACATATCCTAACAATATGACTGGAAATTTCAATGAAAGAAACTTCAACATTATTGACCAACAGACTAAAATACTGTTGCATAAATGAGCCATTTTGTTTTAATATGATACTTGTGTTAACTGAGTACACCTATAGTCGAATAAGTGATGGTACTTTCAATGTGACTTGAAAATGAAACTTATTAATCTTATTTTCTAAACCACTCTATTGAGTTAGAAGCAAAGATGGATAGTGGCTAGCAGTAGGATCCAGGACGCGCGTTCCGTCCTATACGGGATTCGTCAGCTGGATGTACCTGCATCCAAGTTGTCATTCACTCCGGGATTAGAATTAAGGCAATATGCACATATACTAATAAGAGACAGATCAATTGCAGTCCAAAACACCAATGGAAAGATTCAAGTAAACAATACCAAGTGAATTTAATCTATTGAGTGTTTAGAATTTTACAATTAATGCATTTAGTCATTAATTAGTGTTATATTTTGTTTTATTGCTAATTAGATATTACGCCTAACACAAAATGACATTTCAAAGATGATAACTTTATATGAATAAGAGAGATAACAAAACGAAGGATTTCATGGTTCGAGAGAAAACATCTTATTGCCTGTATGCATAATTCCAACTTATTAAGTTAGAATTATGCATACAGTACAAAGTAGCCAATAAAAGTAGATGTTCATTACGAAGCGTCCGCATACTGTAAGGAATACAATGATACTGAAGTGTGAAAGGACACCAACAGAGATCCATTAATTTAAAGTCAGAGTTATAATCAATTCTTAAAAATGAACCAGCTTGACATTCATTAGTTCAAAACACCTAATTTACATATTTCTTTCCTTCGACCCGTAAATTACCGTAATTTTAATAAACCTAATTTAATTATAAGAAAAATTCTCATTTCATTTACAAAATGTACCGTTTTTTTTAATTGAATAGAATTTTTCGAAGGCAATTTTTACTAACCAACGAATTGATGATAACGAGGGGAGCAAAATATAATATGTCTTCCTTTTGAGATTTTACAATACCTTGAACGGAATTAAACTCATGACCTTCAGGTGAGCATGTTGACACACACGTTCTTATTTCTCTACAGTAGTTCAAACGATTAATAGTAAAAAGTAATTTCGTGCAATTTTAACACTAGACAACTGATTACATCAAAAAATAATTTTCTTGAAGGAAGTCGTTTATACATGTTATACATAAGTGTACAGTATGCACTTTTGATAGTGAAAATAACAAACTGATCTTAGTTGTACAAGCAGAGAAAAATAGGAAGCACTGGATAGCTGTTTAGTATTAGTACAGGACACCTCAGCAGTACATATTCAAAACCTTACCTACGATCGAACTCAGAACACTCAATTCTAAAGGCGAGAGCTTAAACTTTAGACGACTGAGTTGTCATCGAGTGGTTCATATGTCTAATTACGAACGATCCGCAGAAATCTTCTACTATCTACCAATGTGATGGGTGCCTGACATGCGGAATGGTTAAACTCCACTAGTTATGAATTCTCATTGGAACCCCGGGAACTCTATCGAAATCAGTCACTTATTGAGGGCAGAATTATTGTTACCATGTGGAGATAATTTTAATTTCGGAAAAAAAGTAATGGTTAACGTGAATTATTTCTGTAGTTTAATAATTATCGGTTACTCTCAGGTATAATGTACACACTGATGTAAACACATATAGATGAACTAATTTACTACAAAGCAAACTTTAAGTAATGAAGCAAATTGAAGTGAGAAAGAAATGACAGTGAATTGAAAAAATGAATTTAACTGGTAAATTATTTTTCTTATCAATAAAATGATAAGTACTTACTTTCGTAAAAACAATGGCAATTAAAAAACACACATAAACACTTATCAATGTCACAACAAACCCACCCACTAATCAATAGCATCTCAGTAATCAAGAATGATAAGAAAGCAATTCGCTTACCCTTTTTTCACTTTGCTTAGTGATATAATAACGAAGACAAAATGGTGGTTGTGACAGGTAACAAAAAATCAGTCCGATCAAGCTATACTTAGTTATGTATAATGGTGTGAATAATTGTAGGAGGCACAAATCACTCCAACCAGTGTTAGGTGGCCAGAGTGAATCGGAAGAAAGCTCTGGGTCTAGGTATCGTAATGGTTGATACTCGTCAGGAAAGAGTACTTGCAATTTCCGGTGAACTGATACTTCCTACAAAATTTGAATTCTAATCATTTAGTATCACATGGAGACTGTAGTGTCTGCAATTCAACTACTATAACCACCAAGCTACCAACACATTAATAAAAATCAGAGAAATAATGAATGAAAAGGTGAAATTTAAAATTTCAGTAAATAATTGTTTCAACTCCAAAAAGTTGTTATTCAAAACTTTAATGAAATAATTCACATAAAATAGCTTATCTTACTTTTCGTATATCCATTTGTTGTGGAGTATTATTCTGAAGAGGTGCACCATCAATAAATTTAGACATTGTTACAGTTAATAAATGTCCATGTATTCGTAAATTCAATTCAGACCAACATGTTTTAAAATGTTGTAAAGTTGTAATAATACGTTTAGCTCGATCCATTGCTTCACTACTAGGCCAACAAGGTAAAAAGCATGTCAAAGGAACAGTTAGTGTAGATCCATTAGCTGTACGAACCTATTAAAGAAAAATATAAACAGAGATGAAAAAATATATATAATCATAAAGGGGGAAAAATAGAATTTATTTCTATATTAATACTGTTTGAAAGAAACAGACTATCTTTCGTCGGTTTAGAAAGTTGTATAAGTCGAAATGAATGAGAACAAAAACAGAACGATAAAAAGCAATAAAAATATTTAATTTGTATCTACAATAACGTATTATTGTAGTAGAGATGATTAACTACAGTAAACAGACTTTTCGTATTCAATTACTCTTTTACGATTTAATGATGTATAACTCTTTAAGTTCCAAAACTATCATGATAAAAGCAACTGTGAATTGACTGAAGCTATGGAAGTTGAATTTTCTTTTAACACGTGATTAATTTCAATATACAGACAGTAAAACAGTTTACTGCGACGGCACTAAGAAGAATTATGGTATTTTCGATTGAAATGAGCATGGTAAGAGTAACGAACACATGTTTCTTATCTTTACAATGTGAAACAATACAAAAAAATCGAGAATTTGTATCAATTGTAATTTTAAGTGTGAAGGATGAATTAGTGAACCTATAAACTTATATATATATATATATATATATATATATATATATATATATATATATATATATGTAATATAACAGACAAGCGATTGCTTGGATCACGAAGTGACATAAAATTAAGCAGTATGGACAAAGACACCCACTAAAGTAACAGATTAAATAGTCCCCATTTGGTGATATAGGTGATATGAAGCTGAAAATGTATATGATCACTAATGCTGAATCAGAATATGTATGTAGTAATCTTGTAGGAAAAAAAGAGTAATCAGATGAGATTATGTAATTAATTAACTTACCTGAAGCTTATGATTTTCTGGATTTTCCAATATTATGAAAAAATCACCTTTATCAAAATAACCTGTATTGTTGCCAACTGGCCAAAATATTGGCTCTATAATACTACTACTACTTGCGTTTGCAATCGATAAATGACTTGTATTGGCGGAAGTAACGATCGATACATCACCGGAATAGGATTGATTATCGGAGAAATAATCTTTGGGTTGGAATGAGCATAGAACACGTATACGTCGACCAATCAAAGTTGTTGAACTGTCTTGTGCATCCACGTGACTTGGTATTGGTGGGATAATTTCTTGACTTATGTCTACTAATTGAAATATAAATGACTCTTGACCAATTACTCGAGTATGAAGTTCCTGTGGAATAGTGTTGAAAGAGAGAGAGAGAGAAGAGAAACATCTGAGATAAATGGATCAAGAGTGATAAAAAAATCATTCGTTCATTATTTTTGGGGAGAAATGAGCGTTTCATAGAAAATTTAATTCGAATAATTCACCAATGAATAATACTATATAGGTGCGGTGAAAAACAACTAACCACATTTAAAAAATTGAGACGATCTAAACACAGAGAATTTAATTCGTTGTTTCAAATCAAGATGCAACATTGATATGAGCGCCTAAACTTATTTTTCGGATAAATCATTAAACAAACAGATAATATCAGATGAGTTTTGTGGATTTTATAGTAATTTCAATGGTTAAGATCATGAGTCAGTTGAAGCTAGACCACCATAGAAAACCTGGAAGCACTGGACGGCCGTTTCCTCCTATTGTAACACTCCTCAGCAGATAATACTTAAAATCAATATTACATCAGTTTTTACTTTTGAAGCCAATTTATATCGGCAAACTAATTAACTTCTCTATTGGATTATTCAATTATTATCCTTATTTGGTATCTAAATGCAAACTATAGAAGCTACAAAGAATAATTTAGATTGATAATGATAATTAAAAAAAATATGAAATGGTAATGACCTGAAGATCTCGCTGGAACAATAGATCATATTCATTTTATTCATATTGCTCTTTCTCTTTCTCCTTAATTAGTCTAATAGTAGTAAATTTTAATATAATAACTATTTACAATTTCATATCATTTTTATTATTTTTTATGTATGCAAATGAAACTGGTTGACTGATTGAAATTATTTTTTTAGAATAAGTAAATGTATATTGATATATTCACTATCGAAATCATGTTATAATTGAAGACAAGTAGTTATTAAAATTTTCTGTAGTATAATAAATACAGTTTTAAGTGATTCTCACTTCTGAATTCAATAATAAAAAATGAATATGATTAGTCAATGTACTCAATAGTACCTAATAAGAAAATGTACTTCAAAATAGAATCCATATCAGGAGAATATATGAGTTTGAGTCATCAATTAAAACAGTGACTGATAGAGTTCAGACTTGTAGGAGGTAATACAACTGACAAAAATGGAATCGGCTAGTCGTTGCGATATATTACGAACTCATTGAGACTGGTAGTTTTGACATTGAAAGTCAGTTCAGTACTTCTAGACATTAAGCATTACTATATGACCTAAATGTTCTGAGTTCGACCCCACATAGGGTCGTGAATGAGCACCATATAGGAGTCTCATATAGGATGAAACAGCAACCAAGTATTTTCTGGTTTTTAATAATTGTTTAACTAAGAGAAACATTTAATGAAAACTATTATATTCAAATTCAGTCGACTAGACCTAACCACAATCCCGGTTATCTTTAGTCATACAAAATTAATCCGAATAACCAATCACCAAGATGTATACATTTGTAGATCCAAGAACAATAGTAATAACTGATATCGTTTTAAAAAATTTCGTATTACTTCTATCATATCTTATTTGCAAAATTTCATTTAAACATTTATGGCTACAAAAAAAAAGAAAATGTAATTTAGGTTATGTACACAACATATTCTGATCAAATTCATTGCAAAAAGTATGCTAAACTTCATTTATATCTTTTTATTTTTTAAAATCCTTTGGATTGTAAGTAAATGATGACAGAATTTAGTAAAACAAAAAAATCGATTCACATTATTTTACTACTCAACATATTGTTCTACCTTTTTTTTAAAGTTACCATGGTATATTGACGTTATTTTATTTTGTTTGTTGAACTGTAGCTAATTTACACTATACAATTAAAATAATCAATATTATTGTTTAAGTTGACATATATTATGATTGGTCTACTGTAAACTAGACAATAAAAGGGATTGTGTACACTCAATTACAAAAGTACTATAAAGAAAAAATCATGAAAATGAATGATGATCGGTTAATTTTATTGAATTAGATAGTTGGTTTTCAATGTGTCAATCAACATTAATCTCATTAATTATATCACTTTAGAAGACAGAATAATCTTGAAGCCTGTATGCTTATTTTAGATGATGAGAAAATATCAACTTTGTAGCTATGAGAATGTGACTAAATTGTATAAAGCATTAATCTTTCAACGATTTGGGTATTAGTTTGAAAAAAATATGTTTAACCTATTGTAGGTTCGACAGTTGGATGATAGTTTTAGAAATCATTTAAGAACTTTTTTAAAGAAAATAAAACAACTAAAAAGAGGAAGCAATGGATTCTTCAATTGATCAGTTCTAAGGGAAAACGGGACGATAAGTCATATATATATATATATATATATATATATATATACAAGCATATTTGACCTTAAACTTTTGCTTCACCAAATGACCTGTTTTTTAAGTATTTTCAAGTTACGTAAATCGTTAAGGGTCCGTTAAAAATGTGTTAAAACTTCATTGAGTGATTTTCATTGAATTTTTATTAACCATTCTATATAACAGTGTTAGGATACGTGTTTACAATGAGGATGCATTGTTAGGCCAACATAACGTGCTCTTTCCAAATGTACATCCGAACACAGTTCACCATGATTATTGAATGGTGAATGCAAATCAGTCAATAGCTTGATTGGTAAACATTTAGTCAATTCTGATCATCGATCACCACAATAATCCTTAGTATAAAAAGTTAGTATAGAAATAGAACAAGCAAACTTCAATCACTTCATGTAAGAAATGAGTTAAAATCCAATCATTAGTAATAGTGACTATGATAAAGACCGTTACGTAAACAGTAATTATTCGCTTCTACTCACTTGTAATTGTTTGAGAAGAGTTTCACCTTGTTCAGTTGTTGTTGCATTTAACGTTGATTCATAAAGGGAACGTAATTCTTCTAATGATGTAGTTAGTAATAATTCACATTGTTCAACATCATTGAAAAAACTTTGAAATCGTGAACTCTGTTCAATATGGGCTTCAAAACAATAGGTTAATTGTAATAACCAAGCCCAATGACGTTCCAAAGCATTTAGATAAGTCTAAAAATGAAATATTTTAACGAAAAAAATCGTAAAAGTAATGGTATAATAATTATGAGTGACATTTAAGTAGGCTACTCATTTCATCTAACAATAAAAAAGTTTTTATAGTCAGCGTTATTGTATCGTAAATGTAATATCATACATAATAATGAAAAAAATTGAAAGAAAATCGTAACATTTCTTTTCATAACAAAACAAATAAGTAGTAGAGTTGTAAGAAGTCTAAAAATTAATCGATAGCAAAAAAATGGATATACAGAAAATATGGATTTTGGTTAATAACGGAACCCAGAATGCGTATTTTGTCCTACTCACAATTCGTATGTTCAATGCATCTTCACCTATGTACTGGCATACACAATGAGACTTGAACCTAGCACCTATCATTTCAAATGTTGATGTGTCACGCAATAAGCTATTGAGTCCGAATGCCCACTAGCTTGTTGAGTGGGTACGAAGTTATTTGTATAGATTTCCAATTTCTCATTAATGACACATGACAAAAGAGATTGCTCAAAGTTGGTTCTTAATATTAACAACGAGGAATTAAAAAGCTTTACCAACAGAGAATATAGCTTGAGAAGAACGATTGAAATTGAAGAATTTGGATGGAATAACTAAAAACTGAAGATCTATAAAGGGGTAAAGAACGACAAATCCTGAGTCATGTTGGCTACAATTTCAACAATGAGCGTTTGGTTGACTTATGGATCACAATCAGGAAGATTACAAACCCCCCACATGGTTTGATTCATGCTTGAATTGCCTCAATCCAGAAGAAAAGTAAGTACATGAATAAGTCTATTTAACAAACCATAACGAGGATACCGAATACTTATTTTTTATTTATTTATTTTATTTATTTGAACACATAAATATTGGTACAGGGGGGCACCAGGGAAGTCCTACTCACTGCCTTCTCGTGGCGGGGGTGTTGTTTACGAAAATGAGAGGACGAAAAGCGAACGTCCGGCGCTATAACCGGATCCCAATTCTATGGTGCACATGGGCTCCAGTATCCTGAAGGAACAAATGGCGTATGAACCAACTTTTGGTCACCGGCCTCCATGGGACTGCATCTCCTCACGATGCTCCACTGCCTTGTGGACTAGACCTTTAGGTCAAAGGCTCGGGGTGTGGCCCCCTAAGAAAACCACCTGCTTCGGTTTGGGCACCCGGGCAGTATCTCAGCCCACACACCAAAACATGATGAAATATTCGCTTACGGAAAATATTCGTTCTTCTCTGACTAACATTGAAATAACTGATACTATTATTATTATTATTATTATTGTTATTATTATTATTATTATTATTATTTACTACGTCATTTACTCACTATCTCCTATTTCTACCTTTTGTATCCGTTTCGACTCAGACAGCAGCTCGCCTATGGTAAAAATTCAGCTTTATCTAAACGTTCCCGAGTCACTGCCTGGTTCAAAATTGTATGTTACCATCGAATAAGAGTACTGAAGCAGTCTTTCTGAAACCACGCGCACCATTCAAACTGGCTGCCTTCAACGTTCGCACACTTATGCAGGTCGGACAACAGATAGGGCTGGCAATGTCTTTGGAAAGTCTTAATATTGATGTGTGTTGTCTATCCGAGACCCGTATTCAAGACTCTGGTGAAGTACTACAAGTTCGCTCTCCATCTGTCGCTCCAAAAAGCTTGTTTTATGTGCGTTTATCCGGGGACCCTGTGGCATCTTCGTCTGGTCTTTCTGGCGTTGGTGTCGCACTAAGCGCTAGAGCTGAGGCAGCACTAGTCGACTGGATCCCCATTAACAGTCGGTTATGTGCCGTTAGATTAGAAAGTTCCATCAAAGTGAGAAATCGGCGTGAGAAACGATGTGTTTTCGTCATCTCCGCCTATGCCCCGACAGATTGCAGCCCGGATGCAATCAAGGATGAGTTCTACCACCAGTTATCTGTTCTTCTCCAGAAAGTGCGTTCGACAGATATTGTAGTACTAGCTGGAGACTTGAATGCTCAGGTCGGGCGTCTAGGCACAGAAGAGAGTCGTTTAGGTGGCCGATGGGGACTCGTTGGTCGCAGGACAGATAACGGGGAACGTCTACTGCAACTATGCACAGACCACAACCTGTTTCTGGCTAGCACTAACTTTCGGCACAGGCATCGCCGATGTGCCACCTGGCGTCCCCCTTCTGCATCTCAAGCCTGGACTCAGATTGATCACATCGCGATCAGCTACCGCTGGCGCGGTCGTGTACAAGAATGCCGCTCCTTTTGGAGTACCTATCTGGAATCTGACCATGCTCTGGTCTGCGTCAATCTTACCTTACTTTTCAGTGGACAACGAAGTGACCGCCACCACAGGATTGATGTTAGCAAGCTGGCTGCAACTTCTGTTGCTAGTAAGTACCGAACCGAGCTAGCTTCTAGGCTAGCCACTATTCCACCGAAAAGTATAGATGAGCATTGGTTGCAATTGCATGACACCATGAAAATGGCGGGTCAAGTCAGCTGTGGGATTGCGAAACGTCCCTCTTACAAGCACTGGGTTTCTTCTGGTTCCTTACAACTGATTGAAGCCCGTCGGTCTACTCCGGGTGACCGTGAGTTTGACCACAGACGAAGGTTGTTACGTAATGAAATCGGGCAAAGCTTGCGTAAGGACCGAGAAACCTGGTGGTCGGAGCGTGCCAGTGAGTTGGAAGCAGCAGCTGCATCTGGTAATTACCGGAAGCTCTTCCAACTCATCCGAGCCACCGGCAGCAAGAAGTCTGGTGTGAGCGAAACAATCTGCGAGGATGACGGAACGCCAATCACTAACATCCATCGACGTGTTGGACGATGGGCAGAATTCTTTGAAGGGCAGTTCAACTGGCCTGCTGCTCCGGCGACATCGGTCAGACTGTCCTGCCCTCCATGGCCGGTGACGACTGATCCACCAAATGAGGCGGAAGTCCGCAAGGAACTCCAACTCTTGAAACGTTACAAATCACCAGGCCCAGACGACTTACCTCCGGCTCTTTTTAAAGATGGTGGTGACTTTCTGACTAAAGGACTGACGACGTTGTTTACAAAGATCTGGGAACTAGAGAGTGTACCAACGTCATGGAATGAGTCGATAGTTGTCCCTATCTTTAAAAAGGGTTCACGTTGTTCCTGTAACAACTATCGGGGGATAAGTCTACTTCCGATTGCGTCCAAGCTATTGGCTTCCGTCATACTTCGTATGTTGTTCAGAACCCGAGAAGGATTGACTCGCGAGGAGCAGGCTGGGTTTCGTTCTGGTCGAGGATGTATTGATCATATCTTCACACTCCGCCAAGTGTTAGAACACCGCCATACTTATCAAAGGCCAACAATCGTAGTGTTTCTTGATGTCAGGGCTCTCTTCGATTCGTTGGACAGAACTGTTCTCTGGGATTGTCTATTGAAGAGGGGTGTGCCTGAGAAGTTTATTAACATCCTAAAAGCCTTATATACAAACACCTCAGGTAGAGTGAGGGCATACAACCACCTTTCTCCACTATTCCATTCAAGCAGTGGAGTTAGGCAGGGTTGCCCAATCTCACCATTCCTCTTCAACTTTGCCATCGATGACATTCTGGAAACAGCTCTGACGGATGTAAGTAATGGTGGTGTGGATCTGTTGCCTGGAGAAAGACTTCTCGACCTTGAGTATGCGGATGATATTGTCTTACTGTGCGAGAATGCCCAAGCCATGCAATCCGCACTTAATCAGTTGGCAATCAGTGTCCGTAGGTATGGTATGTGCTTTGCACCTTCGAAGTGCAAAGTTCTTCTACAAGACTGGCAGGATTCTAATCCTGTACTCACTCTGGATGGTGAGCAGATAGAAGTAGTCGAGAAGTTCGTGTATCTAGGTAGCTGCATAAGTGCTGGTGGTGGCGTGAGTGATGAGATCAATGCACGCATAGTGAAAGCCAGAGCGGCTTATGCCAATCTGGGCCATCTTTGGCGCCTTCGTGATGTTAGTCTGGCTGTAAAAGGTCGGATCTACAACGCGACGGTGAGAGCAGTTTTGCTCTATGTTTGTGAAACCTGGCCTCTCCGAGTTGAGGATGTTAGACGACTCTCTGTGTTCGATCATCGTTGTCTCCGAAGGATTGCTGGCATCCAGTGGCAACACCATGTCAGTAATGCAGAGGTTCGGCATCGAGTGTTCGGTCACAGAGACGATAATGAAATTGGTGTCACCATCTTGAAACACCGACTTCGGTGGCTTGGACATGTTCTACGAATGTCGTCCCAGAGAATTCCTCGTCGTGCATTATTTGCCGACTCTGGGACTGGTTGGAAAAAGCGGAGAGGTGGTCAGTATATGACATGGTGTCGTGGTATGAAAGAAAGCTGCAAAGGGCTAGCTTCTGTTGGTCCTTCACGACTCCCTGGTTGGGGTCCGAGAGATGGTGTAACGCAGTGGCTAGAGACGTTATCAGATATGTCTCAGAATAGAAGCCAGTGGCGATCCTGCTGTAACCTTCTTTTACTTTCTTCATAAAAAGGTGGTCGTATTCTTCCTTAACTGAAAGATCTGTTCTGATTGTACCTTTCCGTTTCCCCCACCATTGTTCTCTCTCTCTCTCTTCTTTTTTTTATAATTCCCCACGTTCATTACTTTTTTTTTTCTTCTCTTTTCTCCTTCTCTTCTAATTATCACTGTTTTGTGTGGCGCATATATATATATATATACCGAATACAATATCGAAACAAGATATTGATAATAAATCTTCTAAATTAAAAGAAATATTACTATTGAAAAAATAAGCTGCATAAAACACAAGAAATCACTGAATAGTTGTTTTGATCTTCAAACTAAGACTCTGTGAAATAGTACAATAATAATAATAATAATAATAATAATAATAATAATAATAATAATATGTAGTGTACAACCACTGAATAAGCAACTCTTCAGTTAACTGGTTACTCAAACTGAGATAAGTATTTCTAAATGTGGATCCATAACTAAATAATTGAAAGTCAAGTGGTTTGTTCATTAAAACCCACCGCACCAGTCTGTATTATCAATAATCCATTGATATTTTGGCAACAACTAAAAATTACCTCAAATGTAATATATACAAACAGACTAACGATAGATCCAGCACTTACCTGTACAAGATCAGTTACATCAAAATTTTCCAACTGGATAGATGAGCCTAGTACACTGAGTTCACTGTAGACAATTTCTTTTTCATGTATCTCATGCATAAGTTTCTAGAATAAGAAAGAAATATGTATGTAAAATACTTATTATAGCTAATATATTTGTTCAATAAAAATATCTCTATACAATTATATGCAGTAGACAAAATCAGCCAGAAATACTTATGAAAATGCGTCAGATTAATTTCTAAAATACTTAAGAAACTGTAGAAAAATAATTTAAAAAATTTGTTTGCATGTTCATGCAGTTATCTTTGAGGGAGAGATTGAAGTGCTAGATTTTTTTCCTCGAAAAGAAACAATAACATAAAAATGTATTAAGAAAACCAATTTTGTAGAAACTGATGAACTGGGATATAAACATTGATATAGTCAGCCATAAAAATCTATCCTTCAAAGGAAGCGTATGACTAATGTCTCAAGCGAAATTATCTTTTGTTGATTGGCGAGTGATTGAGGACGAGGATATTGGGCTACACTAAATATGATTGTAACTTTATATTGTTTTATCTTCAATTATTTACAGCTTTGTAGTATGTGTTAATAAACTCTCGTTCTAGTCTTAATTTGGTAATTGACAGTTAGTTGAATAATTGAGTCAAGTGCATTATGATTTAATGAGCCTAGTATCCAGGGTAATGAGCTAATGATCAGTGCATAGTCAAGAAAAAACTTATTTTTTCCCTTATAAAAATAACACGCACGGCTAACTTAGATTATATGAAAATATCTTGTGAATAGGCTTTTTCAAAAGATTTGTAACTATTTCATCAGCAATATCTATCAAAACCTCAAGATTCATCAACAGTATGTTTTTTGAAGTCATAAACATGATCTTTGCAAACTGTTACATATTTTAATTAATACGATATAATTGGAATCTGATTTCTACAAAAGATGATCTTATGATAAACAGCTGTTTCATTAGGCAATCTAGTGAACACATTTTACGATAGTGTCAATATGTGTAAGTGAAAAGAGTTTTCCTCGTTCAATGAACTCAAATATAGAAGTTTTACAGTTGTTCAGGATTCTTAGTTGCTTTATTTATATAATTATCAATCAAAAATGTAATTGTGTATTACACTTTGATACCAATAATCAGGAAGAAAACGATTAAGTTATTGATGACAGATACAATAAAGACAATAACGAGGAAACTATATAAATGCATTGAACGTTCTTTGACTCCTCTAAGCAAGATAAACTTGCACTGTTTACAGTAATTGGAATTTTATCATTGAAATGCATTTTTAAGGAAGCGATCATAAATATGATAAGGTACAAGATTCCTCGAAGATATGGGTATAATATTGCGAAGAGTAACTATACTAAACTATAGATAGAGTTGTAAGTAGGAATGATACAATCAAAACGAACGCTCATTTAAAAAATTACACCAAACATTGCTTTGAATATCAAAAGCTTCAAACTACAAAGTATTATAATCAGATCGGTATAAAAAAATTGATGATTCTCATAATAACCTAGACTCAGATTTTTTTGCTTAAATATGGATTCATCAGGAAGTTAGTCCAATTAATTGTTCGTCATGTTACTATTTAGCAAATATAATGTAACTTGTGAAATATATTGGTAATGGCTCTACATATATCTGATATGTGTAGTTTACGAGTATCAATTTTATAAGTATTAAATAATTCAACTATTTCAACCTATTCAAACATTCTGATGGTAATTGAAACTCAACAAAAAAAGTGAAAGGGAACAGCTTGTTCAATATGTTATTCACTTAGAGTTTTATTTAACAATTTTATATCTAATCCTAAGCACTTTATATTGAGAATTTATTATTTCAATACAATGATTCCAATTATAACCAATGCGATTTAAAACAAAAAAAACAACAACGTACATTCCTTAAATTTTAATTCTACGAAACAGTCAATAATCCATATTGTCCTGCTTATAAATAAGTATTTTCGTGGGACTATGTATAAAACGCAAATAGAGATCGATAGGATCGATATTTTTAATCGAAGAGAGAGACAGAGAGTGAAGATTAAACACTGACAACAAAAGAATGTAATAATAATAATAACACCAATAAAGGGGTAAATGAGGAAGAATAGAAAAAGATATGAAAAACAATGACCTATCTATTAGAAATGTGAATGTATTATACACAAAGAATGATTTAATAGATTTTCTAATAATAAAAATAACGGTAATAAGTAGAAGTGCTTATAAAAGCAGTTTAAATGTGTATTTTTATTCTTTTTTTTGCTTTTTAAAACATCTATACACATAAGTACGTATATACATGGTTAGATGAACCTATGGTGGTATAGATAAATGAAAGTGTTGAAAAAGCATAAAATAAGTAGACAATAACAAGTACCGGTAACTAATATGTTTAGTTCGGTACTTTTAACATGATCATAAAAAGCAAGTGAATTGACAATAAGCCATAAAAAGTGTTATCGGCTTTTAACTTGAAAATATTTAACATTCACAACATGCTTATATTTAGATTTGACGAATTAAGATTTCGTTTCTTTATATTCAATTTTTCGTGAAGTAAATCATATCATATCATTAAAAGACAGTTTACAATTATGACATGCCGGTGTAGCAATAATTACACACTGTACAGAGTATAAAATTACACAATTTTTTTCACCTTTAGTTAATGATCATTAAAGTGATAAATAACTTTTAGGTGTATAGACCACGATAAAGAATCGAACGGAACAATTTAATACCTAGTAAAATATACACAATTATATTGAGAAGAAACAAACACAGACTCAACGCATTGATTGAATGACAAGACATAAAACATACATAACAAAAAGAAAACAAAAATAAAATTCAGAAAGTGATTCAGATCACAAGGTTGTATGTAACAGGGATCGATCGATCGGTTCAACAATCAATTATTTCACTCTTTAAACGAACATGCTTGTACACACAGTCAAAAAAACGTGTAAGAAGCATGAAAGCAATTGACATAAATTTATATTTCTTTTTCATTCACGACAAATCATTTTGAATTTGTAATTCAATAAATAAATACACGTTCATGCATTTGGTTTTGAGTTATACTTTTTTAAACTGTTAAAAAGGTTATCTAATATTAAATGGCAATTAAAAACTGAAGTTGGTAGGACAGATCCTGAGCATACTATTAATCCATTGGTTTTGAAAAATGGATAATGTAATTAGTCTAGTGCTATTAGGTGTGTAAGTGCTTTTCACTTCCCGGTTGTCCATACCACAGAAGGGTACTTCTTCTTGAGCTTTCTGAAAATTGGCAGTGCGATCGCGGAGTTCAGGGAACGAATACTCGAAACCGGTCACGCACTACCTTTATTTAAATAGTTCCTGGTGTGTTTTAAACGGATTAGTGGTGTTTCCAAGATCCCATAGTACTGATGCTTAATATTACCAGAACTACATCTATCTAGCTTACAATTGACTTTATTTTCAAACATCAATGAATAAGGAACTTGATTAAATGGTATCACAGAGAGTAAACATTTATGTATTCAGTTCACAATTGATAGAATAATTCTGACAAATTACACCGATTTTTAAATGTCGTATTTCAGTTTTAAATTGAGCCTATCAACTGAACAGAATATGATTACTAGTCTGCATGATCACAATTATATACATATGTAAACATATGAAAATTTAATATTAAGCAAAAAAATCAATCAATTATACAAACAACCCACTTGGAAATCAATTCGAATACGACCTAGTTCGTTATGATAAATTTCAGTCCAATCTCGAGTCACCTCACATGATTCATGTTCCCTTAACCAAATTAATTCATTATGGGCACGTTCAACAAATTCCAATAACGACTTCGACATATTTCGACGTTTTAATGAAGCTTCCTAATAAATATAGTAAATAAATTGTGATATTTAAAATAGAAATGAGTAAAATGTAGGACAAGAAGAAAATAGAGAGGAAATTATCCAATTACAATGGATTCAACTGAATAAGTTTATGAGACAACAAAATGTCTTACTATGATACAGACATTGGAATTTAAAATTTAGCTAGTTAATTAAATAACTAAGGTCATTTTTATTTTTAAAAATAATATATAAAAAGTGATGAAATCGTTGAGATATTTTGATAGTTTGAACACAGTTAGGTTCAATAAATTTGACTCTTATAAGGTATCTTAGTAAAGATATAACAGTACTATAATAGTTATTCAATTAGATGTTATCGATTGTTCTCATTAGTTTTATGAGTGAAAACTCATGAGTATTGTGTATGATTTTGATCAAGTCCAACCGATACAGTACAGTATTTATTAAAGAGTAAGGACTACAGATATAGTCACCTATAACTCAGTAGCCAAGTGCAGAACTTTTTTACTGAATTTTATTAAAGATTTGATTAGATATAGTATGACTGAATTCATATATTGAAAATATTCGTTGGAAAATAAAATAAAACATACCAGTATTACAGTTTATCTAATACTTATCTGAAGTGTCTAAGGTATGGGTTACGCACTCCTAATCACCGTTTATGTTAATGTACAATACTGGTCGGCATCGAATTGGGTTGGAAGAAGGCCATTAACGGGTAAATTAAAACGTAACAATAATATATGAAGTCATTGACTATTAGGCTGTGCTGCGTGCAGATGTGCAGGCCGATTAATAGGAATACTAACAGTGGCAGACCTTAAGTGATACAGTTACACAAGTGCAGATGTATATATCCTTAATCTTACCCTTAAATCCTGGGTTTAATTAATCTTTAATGATATTTATAGCCTTCTTTCACCCACCCCCAACCTAGTTAAGTCTTAATATAAATGATATCACTAGTATTTCGGTTAATTTTTTATACATCATGTCAATTTACGTTTCCCGTATTGATGTAGTGAAGTAATTTGGACCGATATAAAGTTGTATCTGTTCTAACGTTGCTTTGACTGTCTGACTAATTCCACTCTAAATATTTATTAAATCTATCTGTATATGTAAACATATAATGATGAGTTATTATGAATAAAGATAATTCACTGATTTACTGTTATAACAAAAAAAATCATAATAGATAAAATAGAAAATGTTTCTACCAATTACCATTAGTTGTTGATAATTTTGTTCAAGTATTTGAAGTGATTCATTAAGAACTTGTTTTTCTTCTTTTGATCGTGTCGGAAGCTATTTAGGAAGAGAACAGAAATTATGTGACAAATGTAATTGATAATCGATCGGAAATGTAACACATCAAGAGTCTTAAAAAGATTAAATAGGAATTAGGTTTATCCGAAAGAATTCTAGAAAATACATTTGTTTTCTCAAGTCCGAACCAGTTAAAACATACAGGTACAAATGTTAATAACGATAATACTGTGAAAATATTGAAACTGAAGTAAGTGTACAATAGTGACGTAGAGGTTAAAGCACTTGACTTGCAATTTGTGAGTCAGGTCTGATTGAACCCTGACACAGATATACGTAAGTTTGAAAAACATAGTGGTGTCGTTAGCCCTAATACGAACAGTGTTCAGCATAGAGCCAACAACATAAACCCCTATTGGATAAGTGAGTTACATTACTAGAGAGAATAAGAAGATAAGCTAATAGATAATTTTGAGAACAATTACCCACAGTGATTTTTAGTCAAATTACAATTATTAATTATGAAATATTGAATCGGAAACAAATCAAACAGACTTTTCAGATGACGATACATTGGATTAACATGAAAAGTGGTGTGAAATATGTACCGGTTCAAGTTACTGTGCTCCATATAAACAAGCAAAAAATGGAATTTATATACGTGATTGCAAAAATATTACATAAAAATGGACAATAAAATGAGCCAGAGAATAGATGTGTCTGTATACAAGCATGATCGACTTTAATCTATATAATGAAATTAGATCGTGAGCTATGGGTTGTTCTCCTAGAATAAAATCTGAACAATTTTTCGACACGACTGAGACTGGTAAATTCATCGATTATCTCTATTCCTCAATCAGGCCATCCTTAATATCCCTCCAACTTCTAGCTATTATAGAATATTGATCTTAGTAGTTTCTCAACACCAACTAAATAATTTATCGTTTAACTTGTGTGAATCTACATATTATTTACTCAGATATCCTGTTTAGAGTAAAGGCTATCTGGAACGAAGTGGTTGGGATGATCATGTCCTTTTAAGTAGAAGGTTGTCTGTGTGTGATATGTAAACGGTTTAATTTTAGAATAATAAGTCGAAAAGTTAAGAAGAAAAACAGAAAAAATTAAAATAAAATAAATAACAACCTTTTGTTGATTAGCTTTGCATCGATCGATTTCGTTCTTAAAGTTCAACACTTCTCGATGAAATTGTTCATGACGCCTAGTAGCTTCTTCTACGGCTGAAAAAATGAGTACAGTAATATTAATAAGGAATGAAACTTATTAACCAGATACAGGTTGTTTTTACTTGACTTTCAGACACATATTTATATGTGGGGGGCATGCGAAACTACTAGCCGGATGCTTGAACTGAAGTAGGGGTTCGAACCCGTAGCATCGAGGATCAATGTTTATGTGAATAAATCGTTAACCATTGTTCCAAAGAAATATGGCATTAGTATCAACAAGACTGATGATAACAGTGGTTTAAAGTTTGATAAATAATTACTTACGACTTACTTTGCACGAGTAAGGAAACTAATTGTGTTTAATACCATTCTCTAATTCATTAAAATAATTCCATTTGTGTATGTTGGTGTATTATTACAGAAACAAGTGTTAAGGCTCTAGTGTTCCTTGTAAATGTGATAGAGGTATCGACGCCGTGAGCCATAGTTATTATCAACCAATGATAATGCACTCAAGTCTCGTGACTCACTACTACGTCTTCTATTTGTACAAACATAATAATGACCAACCTACAAACACACAAATATACATTCAGACCCTTGTATATTTTCTTTGGCACAGTTAATACGTATTGATTTAAGGGGTTTAATCTAAAATGTTAACCTCCTTATTGAAACCAGCTAGTGTCACACGTCACTAAATAGCTTTAGATATAATCTGATAAACAGATATCAATAGAAATTATAAATTAATACAGTCAGACAGCATTTAAACTCATGTGCAGAAGGAAAAGTTTTAGGCTGTTACACAGAAAAAAATTAGATGGTATAAAATTGAACTAAAGAGTTATGACAACCATCAGGAAGATAGTATTAAGCACCCAAACTTATGAGTACTGAGAGGGTTAAGCTGACAAGTTCACATAAGCTTGTATCTCGTATAAATTATTTCTCCACAATTCGTTGTGTTGACCAGTTTACATATGCGTGTGTGTAAATATGAATGCATTGGAAGGAGTAAACAAGCTGTGCAGTTGAGGTTGCTGAGACGCATAACAAAAACGCCTAAAACAGTTCGGATCCTAAGGTAGAAAATCATGTTTCCTTAATACCCCAGCGTACGACTGAAACGGGTAACCGTATAAGTTTAGCTTGAGATTTATCAGTAATGTGCATCAACGACTCTGCAAAGACTGGGATCCTGAGAACGCGTTGCGCAAGATACTACGGATTAATAGTATAAGTGGATCGTGGGACTGTGTAAGGAATTTAATATAGTGCGATATATGTTGCACAGTCTAACCCAACAGACAAGATGAGCTAAACTCAGGTAACGAACACACAATGTCAAGATAGTGATTTAACACAATCAGGACGTATAGATGTATAAAAACTAGCAAGTTCTAGTATCGTTATTTAGTTTCCTGTCTTACAACTATTGATAGAATAAATCAATAACAATAAACTGAATCACAATACAGACTACATCACAAATATTCCCAGGTAATTTTGATATTATGCAATAATGAGAAATGATGTTCAAGCCATAATCATGTGTAAAACTATAAATTCTAATTGTTTCTAACCATCAACATAACAGAGAAGTGACGTGAAAATAAGCCTTACATTTTCGATTTGCTCCATAGGAAGCAGTTTGTACGGTGTGAGCATGTTCCATAATCCATTGTAAGCATTGTTCGATTGGACTAATTAATTTACCTTGAATAAGGTGAGCATTTTCCAAAATGGTACCATTTTTAAGAGATGTGAATGTAGAGTGATTCGACATAGTCATAGATGTTGAACAAACAGAACTAGAGACGACACTAGGTGGTGATAATACCGTTGAAGAAGATGTAAATTCTCGATATAAACGTTGAAGATCTAAGAATTTCTGGTGTAATGTACAAACACTAGAAAAGAATAAGAAATTTCAAAATAGTTGTGAAATTCAATGAAGTTAAACGGAAGAATAAGAAATCATGTAATGAAAAGCTAAAGTGATTAAAAATTACTTCGAATACGGAACTCCGAATACAAACCTGTCAATTTGATTTTAGCACAGACTATTCCATTAAAGTGTAATGCAACTACCCACCGATGACAGGAGAATAGGTGATATCTCTTGAATCATATAGAAAATATAACAGGACCATCCTTTTGACAGTTTGTAGCTGATATCAAACTATGATATAGACTAATTTCCAAATGGAACAAAAACTTTACAAAAACCTATTTATAACTAAAAGTGATTTTGAAAAGTTACATTTAGAAAAATCTCAAAGGAATTCAAGAATCAACGATCAATCAGGGATTATTGGATGTCTATTCAATTTCATCTAGAGAATTCGAAACACCATTTTCTTTTTGATTTAGAGTTTTCAAATATTATACCACTGTCATGTTGTAAACTTAGACTTTATTTAATAAAGTAAATAATTGTTTTATGAGAAATTAACAAATATGTTTGTTTGAATCAGGATCTTCGTATCAATAAGAGTTATAAAACTCCAGATAGTAGTGAAATTAGGCTAAATCAGGTCACACGACATGAACATGATACCATTCAGTTATCAAGCCAGTGTGTACATTTTTAGCTAACTCTATTTATGATGTTTTTTCAAAACATTTTATTCATTAGTTACCGAATCAATTGATTGTGCTGATTACAGTTTCTTACTAGAAATTTGTTTACTGAAATTAATCAGTGATCATACATTTCTTTATTTCTATAGTAAATTTATTGACATTTTTAAATTTTCATAGTTTAAGTTATTCATTTCTCTTAATTGCATATCTATTTAAAGCTAAGAAGCACTGGATAGCTGATTCATCTTGATGTGAGAGTCTTCCGCGATGAACATCGCATATTGAATCGAACCTAGAACTATTAGTCTCGCACGAGAGCGCCAAAACTTTAGGCCACTGAGTCAGCATCCAATGATGCAAATGTCTAACGTCAATCAATTTGCGATATCGCGCGACCATTTTCCATCCTATGTGATGGATAAATGTCTCACGTAGTAGTCTAAAGTTTAGGCGCTCGCGCGCTAGACTAATGGTTCTAGGTTCCATAAAAGGAATAAATAGCTGCCCAATGCTTCCTGATTTCCAATGATTGTCTAACTGAAAGGAATGAATCATATAATTATTTATTTCAAGACGATAGATGAGGATATTCTCTCGTCTCAGAGAGCAAAACACCTTCAACATGTATTTATTTATTTCTATACTTCTATGCAATTATGAAATATAGTATTGGAGTTATTATCAACAACAATGTAATGAGTTAAAAAGAATAAATTTAATAATCCTTACTGTTTTCATTTAAAATTATCCATCCTAAATTATGTATATTATGCATAGGTGTATGAACACAAGAATATGGTAAGGATAGTGTATAGATAGGCAAACTTAAAACGTATGTATGTAATAGAGTATATACTAATTTACTGGTAATATAATGTGACGATGATACTGATAACAGTGGTAACAAACACAGTATGATCAGCAATATATGGGTGTTTGTGGCGCGAAAACAAGAAATTTAAATTTCTAAAATAGAATTACAAAAATAAGGCATTTACTAAGTGAGTTCTGGGGATCTAACATCCCCAACATTATACGTAAAAATAAGTGGATCAGGGTTCGAAGTAGCAACTCATTAGCTGAAATTCAAGTAGTTTGACTATTAAACTACCGTGATTAAAAGATTAAGATAAAAAATATTAGATATTTTAAGATTCGATGTTCGTACGAGTCTGTTGTGTAGAGTTGACATTTTGACATAATTTATGACCAATATACGATATAAAACGATAACATGGCAATCGACAATCCATTTATTCAATATCATAAATGAGTTACATAAACAAAAACCTATACTGTTTACTGAATTACCAACTAATCATTAACCAACACTAGTTAGAATAGTACAAATAATTTTGAACACTAAACTCAATTATCATAACTTACTTCCTATAAATTTTTTCTGTTTGCATATATCGTCCAGTGCGTAAATGTTGTACTTGATTGAATAATCCATTGATTTTGGCTTCAATTTGAGTTAGTTGATCACACCAACGTCTTATTTCATTATTGGTATCGAATACATGCTGACGAGGTAGTTCAAATTTTAACTAATTTCAACATATAGATGAAATTAACAAATTAAAGAGTAAATGAAACTTTGTTTATTGTTGATATATAGAACACACTAGGTTTTCTAATAAAAAAAATTTGATTAGAGAAATAAATGAAGTGCCAAGTGTTATAATGTTGATATTATTGTGACCTTCATATTGGTGTTTGATAAATTCACTCTTTAACTGATAAATAATCCATTGTCGTAGTATTTTGATAAAATAAATTGCATAAAAATAATACCATTTTATTCAGATATATATATATATATATATATATATATATATATATATATATATATATATATAATGTCATTTAACCAGTATTTCTGTAATTTAAAAATCTATTTGGTTAAAAGTTTAGAGATAATTTTCGTGAGTGAAATTATAATTTTATTTGATCAACAGCTAAGGAGATGATAGCAATGTTAACGATTTACTTTAAAATATACGATTCAAACTCTACAATATCATATTGAAACTCGAGATAGAAGCATAAATACTAGGGACTTGTTGATTGCTTGTTTAAATTAATTTCAGGCTGCAATGAGAAATCACTAGTTCGTACTTAGTGAATTATGGTGGTGAGACAGTAACTTAGTAGTTATATAATTCGGCTTTCAGGAAAACAGGTTACAGGTTCGATCTGCACTCCGTCTGTTTGCATTTGCGAAGCCAGATAGTATGACCAGCCTTCAAACAAACAGTCTGCATCAATACCAAGCATATAAATCACTACTTGGTTAATGAGTAATGTTCTAGTATACATTATCGATTAGATAATGTAATTGAAAGGCAATTATAATAATGAATTATATCAAAATCGAAATGAAATTGTCATTAACATTATAGTAGTTTATAATATTTGATAATTATACGGTAAAAATTGTTGTCCATAATTGTTTTTACATGAAGTTAAAATGAATCAACTTTTAATGAACAATGATAATTTTGTATAATAAAATAAAGGAAATTTGGATCTGATTTAATTACGACAATTTCATGCATCTATGATTATAGAATACTGTAAATTTTTGAATGCGTACAAAGGGATGGATGAGTGGGATAGATAACTAGGTAGGTAGGTAAGGTGGAGAGATGGAAATAATAATTTTTCGCTATTTCCTTGTTTTAGAAACTGTTCACTTTAGTTCAAAAAAGTACGAAACAATTTGATTTCAGTATAGAACAAAATTAACAATTCTATCTACTGTAAATTTGCGCTTATTTATTCATAGTATACGGGACCGATAGACGAAATGTGTCGGCATGAAAAGTAATATGAACAATGTGAATATATATATACAAAGAGATAGAGAAAGGGTATATCTGACCTCACAATACTGTACTGGAAAGCCCAATCGCATACATTTATGCGTACCTCATAAGGAGTAACATTCCCAAATAAAAGGAACTTTTTAAAAGCCATAGTGAAATTGTACTCATACAAAACGAACTGAATATTTAGTATAAAAGAATCGCAGTACTTGTATTACATGAAACAATGTTAAGTTCGTTTAAGCTTTAATGTTACTCAAATTATATCGGTAAATACGAAATGTACCCATTAGTCTGTCTCGATATCGCGTGCAGTGTTGTTAAATGACTTGAGATAGTTGATAGGAAACTCTAAAACCAGGTTTCGTGCCAGTTGACACTCGTTAGTTAGACGTACATACAATCTCGAGAGGGCTGATGCTCCATGTGAGAGTCGAACCTAAGCCACTAAGTATTACAGTCTGAGATGTTACCATTGAGCTATTTGGGTTGCGAATGGCCTACAGTGGGACTGAGGTACTTTGATTGATTACTGGATAGCAAACGATTTCATATTATGAAAATTGCAACAACGTTGCGATAATTAAAATATAGTATGTTCAGAAACAAATACCTAAAAAATAGTATATTATTATTGCCACTTCCAATTCAACAACTTTTTAATATTAGGAATGTTCAGTAAAATATTTTTAGGGTTTTCTTTAAAACATAGTCGATAAAAATAATTAACATCACTAAAGTTTGCATAAGCTTCGTTGAAAAAAGCTAATTTCCCATGATAATAAATAGACAAAACATATGACAAAAACAACAGCTATTACTTACAAAGCAAGGCAATGAATAGAATGTCAATGAATTATGTCAACTCCTGTTTATATAAACAATTTGTACACAGAAATAAAAAGAGAACAGTATTAAACGGATATATATATATATATATTACAAACCTCAACAACTCGCCGTTCTAAAGCAGTCAATTGTGCTTGGACTTGAATACAATCACGTAAAGCTCGATTGCCAGCCCATTGTAAACGATCTAAACGATGAGTTTCATTTCTTGCAGCCAATTCACGTTCTTGTAAAGCAATATCATATTCATCCCATAGTCGGTGAATTTGTTCAATTCGAAGGAATAAATCAATTGGTAGTAAACCACGTTCAATAGATGGCTTTTTGAAATGTAAAAAACAAAAACACTTAAATTAATTATAGACAAGTTAATCGTGATGAGTAGAATCAATTCTTAAAAGAAGTTCTAACATAGCAAAATGAATTTAGTGTTCCATGAGCAGTTCAGTTTGGAGACTTCTCTAAATGCCCCAGTACGAACAAGATTGGGGAAAGTTTACTTTTCCTCTCGAAATGCTCTCATACGGCTATACAATTATCATCTCTGTAAAGAAATTTTTACTCAGTAAATTTACACGAGAGTCGAAACTAGGCGAGAATGAAAAGTGAACGTTCGGTGCCTAAACTAGATTGGCGAACAAGGAGGGTTGTTCACCTGGTTCCAAACCAATGGTTTACATAGGTTCCAGGATTCTAACAGAAAAAGTCATGCATGAACCCGTTTTTGGTCATTGGCGACCATGGGGTAGAAGCTCTTGATGTTACTCTACTACTTTTTGAATTAGAATTCGAGTTGAAAGGCTTAGAAAATAGTACTCTAAGAAAACTAATTTTCTCGGTTTACCTGTTCGGGCAGTATCTTACCCCACACAAATTTTATTTAGTGTTAGAACAAAGTAAATAAAACAAATTTGAAGAAGTTTGTACTCGTTAAGTGTTGTGTTATTACTTGTAACCAGGTAACTATGAAACAATTTTCATTCATCTAGAACATTGAATCTAAAAACAACATACTACTACTGTGATGTATGTTACTTGTGTTGACAGATATAAGTAGTATGTAACACAATCAGGAGTGGGATGCCTGGCAGAAGAAGATTGAATTAAAGAGAACAGGAATGTAAACAGAGAAGAATTTCAATAACAACAGAATTAAAGGAATCATAAAGCATATAAAGGATAGCTGAAGGGAGATGCGCAAATGAAGTATTTAATGTATACTTTTCATATATTACGAAGGCACTCTGTAATTTTGTATCAAACAATAAGGCGGTCTTCCTCCACTAAGTTCGTCTTTCAATACACTATTAATATTGCTACAAATACTACTACCAATAATAATAATAATAATACTTATAACAATAGTTATTACTGTTACCATTAAAATGATTAGTACTATTATTACGATAACTGTAAAGCATATCAAATTGAACTGGTTTAGTTTTGTTTAAGGTTATAGAATGTACTGAAACACTAGTTTGTTAATACACTAAGTAAACAAATTTTCCAAACTGTAAATATCTAGGATATATATGATTTCATATATCATTAGAATAAACGATAAGATTGTCATAATTATTACAAGTATACATATAATAACAATAATAATAATAATAATAATAATAATAATAATAATAATAATAATAATAGTAATAATGATAATAATAAAATTAAATTATGCATTTTGTCGAGTAGTAATGATAATGAACATTATCATGACTTGAAAAATTAATCCACATAAATTTTGTTTTATAAAACAAATTGACAAGTATAGTTAAATATAAAGAAGTTAAGAAAAAATTAAATTTAGCAAAGTGAATAAAAAGAAAATAAAACCATACAAAAGTATTGGACGAACGGATGGATTATAGTTGCACAAAGTAAATAGCCATTTACAAATATTGACATTTTAAAGATGTAAGCATCATGCTTAATGTTTACAATTAAATGAAGTCAAAATTCAATATATAGTTTGTAGAATATATATTAAAATTATACAGTATTATATAATGATTTTCAAATCGTTTTAAAATATTTCTCCAACGTCAATCTGTCCTTACATTGTGATTTTATACACATTGTTTTCTTTATCATCTTGAGGAGAGCAAGAAGTGTGGTTTAAGCAGAATAACAAGAATTGATTTTATTTGGTTTGGTTCACATCAGTTGCTTACAATCCGTAATATTTAGAACTCATAATTACAAAATGGGTTCAAATTACTTGCATAAAAGAGCTACAAAAGAGTGGTTGTACAATGAAAAATGGTAAGAATAAGTAAGAACAAGATGAGTAAAGGTCTTCAAGATAAAATAATTGATCTAGAAGACAGTCAAAATAGAAAACGTAGTGATGTCATCAATTGGGACAAGTAGTTGAACAGGATTTTATGATGTAATGAAAAAAGGTTCGTGTTGCCGAGGCAAAGAAAAACTGATAATCAATTCCTTTAAGATACATGAATCATGTTTCTGACGTTTGACATTAAAATCTTCAGCAAATTTCGGAATACTCGAACTTGGATATTTCATTAATCATCTTGAAAGAATTCAAGGTATAAACCTGATGTCCTATGTCAAAGAGATATTGAGTGATTATGCTATTTAAAGTGTTTCTTCCCCTCGTTTAAAAAAATTTGGGAAACATTAAAAAAACTAAGATATGTCGTCTTTTCTGTTAGGCAAATGTAGTTACTTTAATAGGTAAATTTAAATTCATAGACACAGTTATTGGTAAGATGGAAAATGTACTTATTGACCTTTGAATTATCGAACATGATGTTTTGTACAGGAATAATAGCTTGATTGCAAGATAAGTTCTGGCTAATGCAGTGCTAAGCCTCCTGATGATATATGCTTGCACTATTCAGAGTCTTTCTTCCCCTTGTTCTAAGACTTTTTGGAACATCTCCTTGATACAGGACATCAGGTAGATACCTTGCAATCCTTTAGGGTGATTAGTAAGCAGTCGAACCCCGGTCTTCTGAAGTTTGCTGAAGCCGTTGCCATCAGACGTCAAAAACCTGACCTATGTGTTCAAAAGGAGACGGTTGTTAATCTTTCCTTGCCTTGGTGACAAATATTCTTTCGCTGCACCTTAAAAAATTTTAAAACTTTCTTGCACTTATTACAACATTGATTTTTATTTTTCAACTATCTTCCAAATTAATAATCTTTCAACTGAGCCCTACTCACTATATTCCTATCAATGGTTATTCATTATGTAATCAATTGTTTCTACCCCTTTTGAACTGTTGTCACAATTAATGCTGTAGAATATTCTTTCACATAAGGTATATATTTACAATATTCTATCATTTCGTTAATAGCTTATTTAAACATTTTTTAAATAACACACAAAAATATTGCGGTCATTGTAGAAAATGGACTTCCCATTGCTACACCATCAATTTGACGGTATGATATGCTGTTTAACTTAAATTGAACGTCTTCTGTGCACGTAAATAGCATGTAAAACGAATATTTGGTCGAATATATATTTTTAAAAGTCGAAACATAAGAGTATACAAAAAAGGACAGAAAAAAATTGTTAACGAGTTCAGACAAAACAACAAGTTGAGGTATTATTACTTAATAAAACGTTTTGGCACAAACTATGATAATACAGTGTTTGTATTATATATAAATAAAAATTGAGGGTGGATAATGATCACTATTGCACTTCGGAGTATTGTGATGAGAACATACGTAAAAAAGTGACTATATTTCTTTAAAACTAGTAAATATTGATAGTGAAATATAGCAAACTGATTGAAGTTAGACAGCTGGATCTCAACTAAGCGATTTAAAGATACTGAGCGTTTTACAATTAGATCTGAAGTTCCTGATCTTAATCTCTAGTATCATCTTGGACAAACATTAGTAAGAAATTTTAAAATGTTGAGAAACCTCTGTCCAATGGTTGGAAATTCTAAATTCAATTAACTCGCAATATTCTTATTGTATACCGATTCAGTGGTGCTCACTTTGAAATCTGAAGTGCGTGCGCTTGATTCTTAATCAGGTTGTCAATGTGCGCTGTTGAGGAGCTACGTGTTGGGACAAAAACAACTTTCCAGTACTTTCTGGTTCTGAATGATCATCAAATGTAGAGTAATTCGTGCAGTAAATCATAAAAAATGAAGTTATTATCGGTAAAAAAAATCCTTAATATAAAATGAAAGAACTATGATGAACTATTTCAATACACATGAACAATAAATTCTCAACTTTACCTTTAATTCTTCATACATACGAACTAATTGTTGACGTTCTCTTTCTCTTCTTGGTCGTTCATCACGTCTATGTCTTCGTATTTCATCCATAACACGTTCTTGCATTGATTTTAAATCTGATGGAAAATGACGATTAGCCATACGATCAGTAGTTGATCGTAACCACTGTATTAGATCACTACCTAAAATACGATAATCTGACCAAAGTGATTTTAATTCATCTGAAAGTTGATTAGAAGCACTAAGAAGTTGAAAAGTTGAATCGATTGGTCTACTAGTATAATTTTGATCATGATGATATAAAGAAGGCATAGCTGGTACAATTGGTACTGGATATAATGAATGTTTTGATGAATTACATACTAGTTTATCATAAATTGAGGCTACATAAGTGATAATCGATCGTTCATCAGTTGTTTTGGCAATATCTAAAACAAAAGCAAAATCAAGAACAAGTCCGTAAAGCATTATAAGCAAAGATGGATAGTGGGTAGCAGTGGAATCCAGGACGCGCGTTTCGTCCTATTTGAGACTCGTCAGCTGGATGTACCTGCATCTCAGAGCTGATGTTCACTCCGGGACTCGAACCCAGTACCGTCCGCTTCAAACGCCATCGCGTTATCTACTTAGCTACTGAGTCCTGATAGCCAATAAGAGACTGAACAATTTCAGTCCTAAACAGCAATGGGAAGATTCAAATAAAACAATATCAAGTGAAGTTCGTAAAGGTTAAATAATATTCACGTGGCTTTAATAGTTAGTGGAAATTCATCAATTTGTTGATTTGATACATAATCAATCAGTATGAAGTCTTATAAATATTCTGAAAACGAAAGGAAAACATTTTAATTCATATTGAAAAAGAAACTTAATAGGACTGGACGGCATGAATCGTTTATTTCTTTTTAAGAAAGTCATAATTCTTAACAATACTTTGAAGTGTAACAAACAGATCCTGAAGTAGACTAATTCTAGTGATGTACAGCAATGAATACACACCGGAACATTGTGAATTTGTTTAGGAAATTATCTACATTTTCTATTGACTTAAGAGAAAAAACAACTCCGCCTGGAGTCCCTTTCGGGGGGGAACCGCCGATCCGAAACCCAGATAAAGGAGGAGGAAGACAGCAATCAATACCAGCCGAACAAGAGCAGAAAAAGCCAAGGCACAGGCTGAATACACAGAAGTAAACAAGCAAGTGAAGAGGAGCATCAGAACTGACAAACGTAAATATGTTGAAGATTTAGCAATGACGGCGGAAAAGACTGCGAGAGAAGGAAACATGAGACAACTGTATGACACAACAAAGAAACTCTCCGGAAATCATCGTAAACCAGAACGACCAGTGAAAAACAAGGAAGGCAAGATAATCACCAACATTGAAGAACAACGAAACAGGTGGGTAGAACACTTCCAAGAACTCTTGAATCGATCAGCCCCACTAAACCCACCCAACATCGAAGCAGCACTCACGGACCTCTCAATCGATGCTGGCCCACCAACATTTGAAGAGATCAGCATGGCTATCAGACAAATCAAGTGTGGCAAAGCAGCAGGACCAGACAACATTCCAGCAGAGGCACTGAAAGCAGACATGGCGGCAACTGCAAGGATACTCCACATTCTCTTCAGAAAGATCTGGGATGAGGAACAGGTACCAAAAGACTGGAAAGAAGGACTTCTAGTCAAAATACCAAAGAAAGGCGATCTCAGCAACTGTGACAACTACAGGGGAATCACTGTTCTTTCAATACCAGGAAAAGTCTTCAACAGGGTATTGTTAAACAGGATGAAGGACTCCGTAGACGCCCAACTTCGAGACCAACAGGCAGGATTCCGTAAGGATAGATCGTGCACAGACCAAATCGCAACTCTACGATCATTGTGGAACAATCAATTGTATGGAATTCATCACTCTTCATCAACTTCATTGACTACGAAAAAGCATTTGATAGCGTGGACAGAACAACCCTATGGAAGCTTCTTCGACACTACGGCGTGCCTCAGAAAATAGTCAATATCATACGAATTCCTATGATGGATTAAACTGCAAAATCGTTCATGGAGGACAGTTGGCAAAATCCTTCGAAGTAAAGACGGGTGTCAGGCAAGGTTGCTTATCCTCACCCTTTCTCTTTCTCCTGGTGATCGACTGGATCATGAAGATGTCGACATCTGAAAGTAAGCACGGGATACAGTGGACATCTAGGATGCAGTTGGATGATCTAGACTTCGCAGATGATCTGGCTCTTCTATCGCACACACAACAACAAATGCAGGAGAAGACAACCAGTGTAGCAGCAGCCTCAGCAGCAATAGGTCTCAATATACACAAAGAGAAAAGCAAGATTCTCCGATACAACACAGCATGCAACAATCCAATCACAATTGACGGAGAAGATTTGGAAGATGTACAAACCTTTACATATTTGGGCAGCATCATCGATGAACGCGGTGGATCTGATGCAGATGTGAAGGCGTGGATCGGCAAAACAAGAGCAGCATATTTACAACTGAACAACATCTGGAACTCAAAACAATTGGCAACCAACACCAAAGTCAGAATTTTCAATACAAATGTCAAGACAGTTCTGCTGTATGGGGCCGAAACCTGGAAAACCACGAAAGCCATCATCCAAAAGATACAGGTGTTTATTAACAGTTTATTCAAAATACTTCAGATCCGCTGGCCGGACACTATAAGCAACAACCTATTGTGGGAGAGAACAAATCAGATCCCAGTGGAGGAAGAAATCAGGAAGAAGCGCTGGAAGTGGATAGGACACACATTGAGGAAAGCACCGAACTGCGTCACAAGACAAGCCCTCACATGGAATCCCCAAGGTCGAAGGAAGAGAGGAAGACCAAAGAATACATTACGCCGGGAAATGGAGATAGACATGAGGAGAATGAACAAGAATTGGATGGAACTAGAAAAAAAGGCCCAGGACAAAGTGGGTTGGAGAATGCTGGTCGGCGGCCTGTGCTATATATATATAGGCTGCATCTTTCTAATACTTTATCGGATCATTGGTCAAAATGTCTCAGAGCCAAAACTAAATACTTATGGTTATACAATCATTTTAGTAACGTACATCTATTTATTTTAAGTAATCCATTCATATGTGAGATTGATACTGATCAATAAAAGAATAAAATATCCTTTAAGATAATGAAATAAAAAGTCCTACCATCTGAATCAAATAAACGAGTAACTTCAAGTTCACGTTCAGCTAAGTCAAATGTTAAATCAAGATTTTCACGGGTAGATTGACGATCAACTTGACGAAAATCAATTAAATCCGGTCTAAATAAAAACAAACAGAAAGATGTTAAATTATAACAATGATAGAAAACGCCATCCAGGTAAATTAAAGATTTAAATAAAGTGAAAACAAGAATAGTAACCATGCAAAAATGCATACTTTCAAATAATATTACAGGCAGAAGAAAATTAAATTGATTAAGAATATTGATTAATAAACAGATCGTAGGTGTTAGAATAAAGAAACACTTGATTCTTGAATAGAATCACAGTTGATATGACATAAATATAAAACTTTTCAATAAGTCAATAAAATTCTATAAAATGGAAAAAATTGTCTTTTTTGTAATAAAGAGGTAATTTTACGAAAAATGAAAACCTATGTAAGTAATAAACGTCAACTTAGTACTTTGACTACCTACAGGATTTTGTATTCCCGTATTATCCGTTTCAAATTGCAATTTCTTTGTCATACATTGTAAATAAACATTCTATGTAACACATTAGTATATGAGCATTATGATGCGGTTCTCACCCTCTAAATGGGATACTTGGTAAAGATGGCAAATCGATTGATGATGTACTAAATCTTTATCAACTATGGTGGTTGAGACACGTGTTACGAATGTCCATCCGTCGCCTACCTCAACGGATGATGTTATCTGGTGCAGGGGCAGGCTGGAAGAAAGCTAGGGGCGGCCAAACCAAAAGATGAAACCAGTCCGTGAAATTATTGACAACTGGATTGAGCCATGTTAATATGTGTAAACAAGGTGTTTAGCGTCCGCACGCTTATCCTAGCCAATAGTAAGAGGCTTATAATGACATGGCTCAAAATCATTTGTAACGGCGCAGACAAATCCATTCTTTGCCTCCCTCCAAATCCTGAGTTTCTAAGTTCCTCATAACTTGTTTTGTTTTTATGCTAATTTATATTCGTTTTGAGTCATATCCTCGATTCTTAATCTTTCATATTATCATTGACAATATTACTACCTCTACTATTCTGGGATTTGGTCTGACAACTTCATCTTTGTGCTGATGGGATATGAAAAATTGAACCGATGAACATATGTACAGGTTCTAGGTTATGACTGACTGACGCGCATTTTGTTACGGTATTGTGACGGATGACGCGATAGTTCGGTTATAAGTTATCATAGAAAGATCTATATCTATACACGTAATAGTTTTCATGAACTATACGATAAATTGTCGTCACAAATTATTACTAATACTATGATAATCAGTCACTAAGTAACTAGTTAGTGGTAACTTTCAGTTAGTCAGTGAAGAAGCAACATAGAACTTTGCACAACAGAGCATCGATTAAATGTGGTACATTATATCAACAAAACGTAAATAATACCACAGTAGTAGAAGTATCAAAGACATTAAAATGGGTAGGTGTAGACGATATGATACTAGAACGAATGAATTTGTGGAATAAGAAACTTTAAATGTACCTCTGAAACTAGAAATATAAGGGAAGACAAAGAGTGGATACAGTCGCGTCATTGAGATTGATTCTGAGCCATGTTATCTAACGTCTCCAACTATTAGTCATGATAATATTAAAGACTCCAATCAGGCAGTCTACATCTACGAACATGACACAGACCAACTCTCAACGACTTTATAGACTTATCCCACGTTTCAGTTTAGTCACCACCAGCTTTCTTCAGACTTATTCTTAAGCTAGTTAACATCTTTGATCAAGGTAGGACGGTTGAGGTTACTCAGTATATGTTCCAAAAACTTCAGGTGATGAAGATTTACAATCTGATTAACCATTGGTATATTATTTGGTCATTAATTTGAACAGTTGCTTATTGGTTAAAATTGGAATTCATTTACTAAGTTCAGTCACAGAAGATGTATTGTACTTAATACTGAACTAAGGCGTTATGTTAGGCAGCATTCATGGTCAAGATATGTAAGTGATCTTGAAGAGGCCTAAAAGTCTAATCCATATTATTTAGAATAAAAAATTACAGAAGTTAAAGTGAGCTAATCGAGAAGTGTCTAATCATCTGTAGGACATAATTCGTCACCTTAAACGCAAAGTTAATTCAGAGCGACATTATACTGAGTGACTAGCATCGAGTAGACTCCCAGTAAATGTATAAAGTAAATTGTTAGTAAACAATTTTGAAGAATAACTCATTTAGAAACAAGAATTGATTAAGATTATTATATCAAGAAAAGTGTGTATTCAAAAGACAGCATAAAAGTGATTTGAACTAACGAAGTCGCTAAATCTATCTAGCATCAGAAATAAACATTAAAGAAGGTTAAATACTTATCAAAGAGTGGTCAGAAAGATTAAAAAAACATAGACATGTTTCATGACACTTACATTGCGATTAAAGAAACAACATGATTGTTAATTGACTTCAGAATCTCTTTTAAAAATAGTACAGTGATCTATCTAGGAGTTATGTACTAACACAATATTTTAAAATACTAACTTGTAAAAGGAATTTTAAAAAAGCCTATTATAAGCTATTGAAGTGATTGATAATTTCCGACATACTTTTTCCAAAAATAGGATATTTATAGCCTTGAAATGAACACAAATTATAAGGAACATAAAAGTCTTAAACAAGAAATTCTATGACAAAAAATATCATTAGTTATTTTCGTGTTTTGATAGTGTAGGATACTTTTTAGAAAATAGCGCGTTCTAATTTAGTTACATGTTTACAATGATCGATCTGAAAACCACTGAATGCTTCAAGTCTTCTGTTGATCAAAAGATAAAATATATTAAATTGGATGTAAGAGTACAAATACATATAATTCTAGACAAATACACTTACCTATAACGATGAATTAAAGCAAGGAATGCACGACCATCTTTCCATGATTCAGTAAAATCTTTTATATATACACCTGGATAATTTGCTGTGACTGCTCGACACCAACTAAGTAATGTTTGTTTAGCCGCATTATCCATGGATAAATTAACACGAAGATCCGATTGTAATTTTGACTGATTTTCAATCAATTCAGCCAACTAAATATATATTTTAGTGAATGGCAAAAAAAAAAATAGAATGAAAGCCAAAATGATATGAAAAATGTACGCAATTAATGTTATGATGAAACAAATAGAAGGGTTGCGCAAGATCATAGATCGATTGAAGTTAGGCATTAACACCGTTAGATGCCAGCTAAGTGGTCTAGAGGTTAAGAGTCCGTGTGTGAGACCGAAGGTCCTTGGTTCGAGTCCTACGTGTGAGATCATGGACTTGTACTGCTGACGAGTCCCATGTTGGGACGAAATATCCATCTAGTGCTTTCAGGTTTCCGATGGTGGTCTAACTCCGAACGACTCGTGAATTCAACTGATAAAAATACTACAATCTCCACAAATCCCCTTACTGAAAGTAGATAAAAGTAGGATATTAAATGGTTGTAACTTCCTTGTATTCAAGTGGAGATTTTTCAGTACGGTTATGCACATTTTTGGTACGTCTTTCGAAGACATACACTGCCATAAGACATGCAAATTGATAGTTAAATGAAACCTTTAGCTCTAAAATTACGATGTCAGTCAATATCCCTATAATTCAAAAAGTATATAAACTTTAGATTTGAAACCAATCCACTTTCATGATGCCAGGTCCTACCATTGAAGTCAAGATCTTGGAAACATTCAGTCAGCTACAACGTACGACCAGGCACATATATGCATCCGTCAAACTGTCATACCTCATTAGCACAACAAGATGAACACCGAATTCAAAGAAGTGGTTAGTTCGACGGTAGTAATGTATGGAAGGAAGATCGCATATAAGGAAATAGTACAGGAAGAAAGAATTAGTTCGTAGAAAGATATAAAGCAATTTTAATCTCATAGTTTAAGGGGAGACAGAAAGTGTATACACCTACGCGATTGTGATCGATTCTGAGCTATGTCACCCAAAGTGTCAAACTAAAAATATTTCTGTTGTTTCATAAAAAGGAGGTGATGATGTTGAAATTCCGGGATGTAAGATAAATTTCACTCAATTTCACAGATAAATCGTGATCACTATTCAAAGAGAAATTTGGAGTAGAACAGTCTGAGATTATTGTCTTCCGTGGTTTCTAGTTAATTAAAGGTTAATAGTCGGAAGTCCAGTGTTGATATCCTGTTCACATTGTTGCCGAATAGTGAATAACCGCAGTGTATCAGGATGTCAGTTGAACTATTCCACAATGTTCTATCCATCGTTACAGTCACAGGCATGTATATGTATACAGTTGCATATCTAATTTTGAGGATGAATCAACTACATCCACTTAACAACAAGAATGATAAATATGTGATTTTAGTTCTTAAAAAAAGGAAGATCATCTAACTCTTTGAATATTTGAATTTCTGATTATCTTATTCTCTTATTTGAGAAGAGAATATAAATAGGAATTAAGAAAGAACAAACCAGTGAAAAAAAGTACACTACTGCTATAAAGTGATTGGTTTCAAGTATACTCTCTACATTTTTATCTTTCTTTGTAGAGAAAAAAAGCATTTATCTATATCGATTCTATCAATAAATCAACTAACAGAATACAGAAAGAATGAGAGGGGAAGACACAAAAAACGTACATCTTTTTAGCTAACATGAAAATCAATGAAATTAACTTTTTAGAGGAAAAATCTAGTCAATATATTTTTTTTGGTTTTGTATGCTAATAATAATAATAACGACAGTGGTAGAAGAAATAAATACATACAAAGATAATTGCTTAACAGTTTATAATGAAGTAATTAGTATTAGAACAAATAATATATTGATAGTTACATCGGTATATACATAAGCTTAAGCATTCAAATGTTCATTTGAAGGCTTAAATCAACTATATATATATATATATATATATATATATATATATATATATATATATATATATATATATTTCCTAGAACAAGATATACAATTCAAATGAATTGCTCACACTTAAACCGTTAGCTAGGGTTCAGTTAACACGTTATCCTTTCTTTTTTCATCAAGGTAAACTCATGGATTAATCAGAATAGCACTGGACTCAACTCCTAGATCAGCAAGCCGTAGAAACACATAAAAATAACCGAAGTGTAGAACAATTAAATGACTTAGGTTATGGGAGTGTTTTCCAAAAATTCAACTAAATTCTTATGAAGTTACCTTGCTTGATATATTTTATATTCATATATGAATGTCAAAAAACGACATTTATCACTATTTATTGCTGTATGGTAGAATGTCATTAGTTCTAAATTAACTAAAGTATATGACTAGCATTATACAACTAACTAGAATATTTTAAGCGTTTTTTGTTTTGTGATTTTTCTAGACTAATTAAAATGATAGTGTAACTGTCGACCCTAATTATACAAAGAGAGTGACTGATCAACTGAAATTCGAAAAGTACAAGCAATATTGCGCAATAACCAGTGGAATAATTTATTTATATAACAGTTTTAGTTATCAGTATGGAGAGTTGTAGAGTGTAGTAGTAGTACTAGTTATGTTGGTTTTCCCAAAAAAATTCAGAAACAAAAAAAAAAAAAAACAACTCTGATACATGTATAACATAGACGTTTCAACATATAATGAATGATAAACAATTAGCACATATCTAAGAAAACACAGAAATGCTAATGTAAATGTATTTACTAATTTAGAAGGTAAAAAAAGCCTGTAACAATAGGTAAATTAATCCTACCAAGTAAATCACCAACTGTTTTAACTCATGAAATCATAATCCAGAAGGAAACATGTAGAGAGAGTAATAAAACCGATATAAATGAAATATGTCCAAGATAATCCATATGAGATTAAAAAATAGTACACGTACAGGAATTACATTTACGTGCATACGCACATACATACACTAGCTACAAACCGACCATATGATATAATCAGCTTTTTGTGTGTACATTTCTGTGAGGTGAAACATTATTTCACCCTAACAACGAACATAATCGACATTTCCTCACATATCATTTACAGTAGATCGTTCACGAAATCAAGAGTAGTGAATTACAATTATGATCATATTTATGCATACACACAGACATACGTATAAAACACCAATAATAATGGTAATTTTCAAATATTAAAACCATTATGAATATTGTCAACTATAATAATAATAATAATAATAATAATAATAATAATAATAATAATAATAATAATAATAATATCTTATACCATATTGTCTTTCCGTCAGTTTGATCGTCGCATCCATATGTATGCGCAGCTGACAGCTGAACTATGTTCTTTCCACCTAGACCACCCCCTCTCTTAATCCTAGTCACATTGCCATAGGTTTAATATTCTGTCTTTATCGAAACATTAACCTATCTTTCTGCCATAAAATCATGCTATACATAAAAAAGCCAACGCCCATGCTTATACTTATTTAATAAGTAAAAATTATAAATAAATATTCAAGTTATATCGGCATTTAATAGGATTATAGTAATTATATCCACAAAAAGAGGTTGAATTAAACTTTATCTTATTGACCACAACAAGATCAAGTTATTTCATAAGATGTAATGTACTAATGAATACAGTGATAACAATTTAAGCACTAAAACAAATTTAGAAATGATGCAAATTATACTAAATCGATAAAAGGTGATCATAGTTACCAGTGAACAACTAATGATTGTTAAATTTCTAAGAATGTGTATGTGAGTAGAATGACCCGAACGACATTATAAGACTTTCAAAAATGTAATAATAAATTATCAGAATAATGCATCACTAAGAATTATGAATAGCTCTACTTATTTGACTATAATATGATCAAGTTTCGGGCTACACAATTCAGAACAACAACGCAACCATTGGTACAAAATATCTTACAACTGAGTTTATGGTATATACACTCTACCTAGGGCTCAACAATCTAGAAGATAAAAGATAACTAGTTTTATTGCCACTTCAACAAACGGTGATACATGTGGAAAATTCATGGACATTTATAAAATTTTCATCATCATTTGGAAAATCAATCATTGAAGTTGTAAGTCAATGGGTTCAGTCTCGAAACATGTTGGCTGAGATCACTAACATCAATCCAAGCTTCAGGGTATGTTGAACAAGTTGTGTGAAGAAGTATGAAAGAAACGTTATTCCTTCATGTATTCTGTTATGATGTTTTCCTACTACTATTAACACTGAGTTGGAAACTGCGGCTACTCAATAAACTAACAATTGATAGCCTATGAAAGGTTACACCCATCTTCCTTCATTCACTAATTAGAACACCAAGTAACTTGTATTATTCAGGCTTTAAAGCTCACGTGTCTCTATTACATATAGTACCATAATCTAGTGATTTACTGTCGAGCCCTTTTCTATTTTTATCTTAAAGCAAACTTATCAATTAAAAATGAGAAAATGACAAAACCTAGATTTTGGATTAACATTTTGGGAGCTAGATGTAAATTTACATTTTATGTTCAAGTTTTAGCTATAAGGGAATGAATGCGATTGGTTAAAATTTCAAATATCGAAAGGAAAAGGTTAGTTTTTTTAAGTTTGAGTTTGCCAGCACCGGTTGAAAACTAAAACGTTGAGTCAGCTTAGTAGTAGAGAGGTATGTTACGAAAAGAGTGAAAGAGGAGTAGAAAGATGAATGAATGCAGAACAATAATCAATGAAACAAGCGAGATTAAACAAGTCATACGTTAGTTTCTAAATAAACTAACAATGACTATAAATTATAAAAAAGAAACTAAAAAGATACTTGTAATCACAATAAAATTCTATTCTTCGATTCTAAAGTACACTGAATCTAATTTATTTGTACTGGGAACCCTGAGAGTTTACCGAGAGTATCCAGAAGTCAGGAAAAGCCTGAAAGCATATCGTTTGACCAACATCGAACAGAAACATTTAAGAAACTAAGGATAACGTATCGCAATTTAATTAGATAATTACCTATGTTGTTAATAAATTTACGGTTTCTGGAAGCATTTCGAAGGTCAAGGAAACACATAGAACCTATGAACAGGGTCGTTTTCTATACATAAAATAACCTTGAAGTGAAGCTACTAGTCCTACTTCACACCTCTGCTCTCCTATTCGGGGCTCAAGTCCATGAGTGTTCGGGGAATCCATGAGCATAGTATACACCGTTCACATAACGGATATATCAATTTGTATCAAACACTTGTGCTAGAGTTACGGTTATATTTCAGTCATATAGAACCTAAGTCCTGACAAGCATATGTATCGACTAAAAGTTCGAAATTTAACATCAACATTGAAAAACAGAGAACTAATAAAACGAAAGCAGAGGGAATGTGTAGCAAAAGTCATTTACAATGGAAAGTTAAAAACTAGAAAAAATACATATAATTACTGGAACTAGTATAAATAAATCCTAATCACGATTGTAGATGATAGCTTATTACACAGGTCCAAAACAAGAAATTTACATTTAAACTCTAAAACTTACTAGAAAAGCAACAATAAAACTAAATTCTCGAATAAAAAGTTAGTCGATTGAATAAAAAAACGATTTCTCCAAATAAAAAAACTACTCTCAAGTAGTTTAACTCTATATGGAGGAAACACCATACGCACCTGTCTACATATGTCTGATGAAAAACACTGTTTATGTCTAATTAATTTAAAACAGAAAATACTAAACAACTCATTTATTTTAGGTAGACTTTTCTCTTTAAGATTGTCATAAACAAAACGACTACAGTATGCACGAAACTTGATAGAAATTGAAATAGGTGAATGGTTAGAAGAATATAGACAGTGAGATAACATTCATAAAATTATAAGATGACGTAATAAGAAGTGTTCAGATAATTGAACCGTGAAACGTATATTTGAGAGAAAATAAAATGGTAGGAGCGGGGTGAAGAACAATAATAAACGAAGAGAAAGTTTGGAAAAATAAAAAATAAATTCATTTATTAAGGCCAAGGGAAAGATAAGGGTGTTACAAATTCAAATGTTTGTTACTGTTACATCTGATAAAAGTAAATAATTAATTTTTGAATTGTATTACGTCGTAATAAAACTTCGATTTCCATCGACAATAAAAAAAATCTGTTACAATAGTATTTCAGTTGTAATTTATCCTGTTTTATACAGATACAGAGAAAGAACGTGTGTGTGGTAAATAGATAATATTAACGAAGCAATAAAATATATATACTAGATTTATGGTTTTGCTCCGTTTCTAAGACTTGATATTAAGAGCGGATGTATTAAATATCAAGTAGATTATTATCGAACCGGCTATGATTCTGTCTCCATTTCTTTCACTTGTCTGGTAAACATGAAACCCACTCATTTGCCATTAGGCATACAGTTTCAATTCCTGCAATAAGTATATTTCTATGTTTTTTTTTCTGTCTGAAATATTCACTTGTTTTGGCTTTTAAAACCGTATCAAGTATATTTTTCCAGTTCAGAGTCAACACGCTCATACACATCAATCTGAATATATATATATATATATATATATATATATATATATATATATATATATATATATATATATATAGCAAAGATGTGGTGACAAGAGTAGAGTCTTTTATACGAACTGTTTCCACCACAAACAAATATTAGGGTTTTAAACAAAATATTACAAGAAACTTTAACAAGTAAGCATATTTAACACTTATTTGAAAAAACTGAATTTCGGCGGTGGAAAAAGATTACATTCAGTCACCAAGGTTTTCCCAAAACAATTCTATCTTGTTCCTAATGTTTCTCCTATACTAACATTAGGAGTATGCGTATAGACATTGCGACATATTATACTTTAAACTGGAATATTATCTGAATTTTCGCCACGAATAAATTGCTGTTAGAAAACCTTTGAAGATTAAGAAGTACTAGACAGCTGTTTCGTCTCGCACGAGAACACTTAACCATTAGACCACTGAGCCGGCATCCAACGGTGTTAAAATCTAACTTCAACCAATCCACAACATCGCGCCACCGTCCACCATTTTACGATAGTTGAAGCACAAAAATTTAAACCAATACATTATGAAATTCTCGTAATTGTTAGTGAGACAAAAAAGCGATAAATATACGATTGAGAATTTATTAGGCTCTAACTGAACGTTACATGGTTGGTTCTAATAATTAAGAATTCGCTGTGAGACCTAAATGTCTTGAGTTAGATCTCCGGAGACATGATGGGTGTCTACTGCTAAGACGTTCCGTACCAGGGCCAAAAGCTTGTACAATACACTCTGGTTTCAGATGACAACCCAATTCAAACCAATTCATAAGGAATACAACCTGTAAAGTAAACTAATTTCCACGAAACCCATTTAACATACACAAAATGAACAAAAACTGAACAGTTTATTACAAAAACGAATAGATGTTGAGAGTAAACTTACTTGAAAATGTAAAATTATAATCCAAATAAGGCCTAGTGTTAACTTGGGATTACCATCGACGATTTCATCTGCACGAATATTCACTATGCGAATCTATAATTTTTAAAAACGATTAGATGGGAGAAAATAATAATAAACGAAATGAATACAAAAATGTGTTAATTCCAAAATAATGATGAAATAGCAAAGGAAGCTTATAATATAAAATTGGTAACATTTGTCTAGAAAATTAAGCACAAAACATATTCTTTGAAATTAGACTATATGCGAAGGTTACATTTTCTTGAATATAGGTGTCTTCAAGGCACCGTTCAAGTTTTTCTGCACAACCGTTGATCGCACTAACCAAAGGACTAAATAAAAATCAAGTATTTATTAAGACTTCCCACTTTATATATATATATATATATATATATATATATATATATATATATAAAGAAAAGCTAAGGATAAAAAAGGACAACATATGCGGTAAAACCGAAATAAAATAAATAAATGGGAAAAAATAAACGATAAAAAAGTAGTAGTCTGTAAACAATAAGGTTTACAAAATTTGAAAGATAATACGTAAATTTTGTTCTTAATACTATTTCATTGATCTAATCTTTTTCTTTTATATGTGCAATTCTGTTATATCCCGGCGAAAATTATGAATGGTAACTTTCGAGAATTATTTATGGACAAATATTATTATTAATAATTTATAACTACTAAGTAGCTAGATTATGTAATTCTATACTCCTTATATTATAAGCTTTACTTTGACCTATAGACTATTACTATACGATTTACCGTTCGTGGTTTATGTCCAGTCTATTAATTAGTCTCCCACATTCACAGTCACTTTTGACTAGATCTATGGATTACGAAGTTCAATCAAAATGCATTTCGATCTGATCATATCGATAAAACTAATTAATAGGAAAAAAAGAAATATCTTATGTGCACCTTTCTGATGATTACTAAACTAGTGCGGAACCAACTTTCTAATTTACAATTGGCTCTCTTGTGCTGAAGATTAATGAATAATGTCAAGACAGTAATAACAAGACAAATGTATCTCGTTTTTCTTCCTCGCATAAATAACTTTCATTATACTTATATATCACTTCTCTATAAACTATATTTCATACATTTAGTATTTCACTATCGTTGGTATTATTTATATTGACTTTTGTATTCCTCATTTTGTTAATTTGACAATGAGAGAACAGATCAAAAATAAAGGAGGGAATTTACGGGCAAATTCAAAATACAACAAAAAATTACCCCACGATATCGAAGAAAATCTAATACACGTTGAATATTTTGTATCCAATGGACACGACTTTCAATGTATTCAAGTCCCTATGAAATAAAAATAGTTAATAAACTAATCAGTAAAAAACAACTGTGTAGTTGGAGAAATATTTATATAAACCAGAAAGTCCATTTATTATTGAAATATTTCCGTTATCGTTTCTTTTTTGCTCTTCTTGTTGTAAAAACTATCACTTAAGAAAAGATAAGCAACGTTGTAATTAAAAAAGGTTACATACTACTTAATGTGCTATAAGACGGTTTAAAAATGAGTATACTAAAGAAAACTTCATGGGTTATAACATAAAACCAGTTACATTTGAATGGTCGTTAATCCAGTTTCATTTTTATTTAATGTAATACAATATTCTCATACAAGCTTAGGAATTAAGCAAATCTGGAGTTATATCATGTCCAATAATAATAATAATTAATAATTAATAATAATAATAATAAAATTAATAATAATAATAATAGTAATAATAATAATAATCTAATATGAGTAGGGTTTTTGTGCTTTCATATTGTTATTAATAATGAGAATTGTAATTTATCAAATGTATTAAAACTCGTGACTAAAGGAGTTATGATTGAAATAACCGGCTCGGGGTGGATATCCTACAACTGAAACTGATTAATTTTGGTCGTAAATATCAACAACGTGAAATTATATACCATTTTAATGCATTCATATTTGTTGAAAAAGTTTAGGGTTATTTAAATTCAGTAGCTTAGTGTATAACACGTTGGTTGAAGCGAATTTCAGTGTGAACATCAACACTACGATACAAGTACATCCAACTCATATGTCTTGTTAATAGGACCAAAAGTGCATCTTGAATTTCGCTGTAAGCCATACACCAAATATATTTAAACTTGTAAGTGTTTAGACCTAAATAAATGTCTCTATAAAAAGACAGCCCCCGAATGCCCTGGTACGGCCGAGGGTGGAGAGAGTTAGCTCTCCCTCTTGAAATGCTCTCATATGGCTACGCGTATACAGCCACTGCCAAGGAAGTCTTACTCACTACCTTCTCGCGGCATTACTGTTGTTTACGGAATTGAGAATAAAAAGCGAATGTCCAGAGCTTTAATCGGGTTGGTGGATATGGAGAATCCACCTAGGGGAGTTGGAAAACCCTCATTCCAAACTAATGGTGCACATGGGCTCCAGGATCCTGAAGGAATAAATGGTGTATGAACCAATTATTGGTCACTGGTTACCATGGGACCGCGTCTTCTGACGTCACTCCACTGCCTTTTGGATCAGACCTTTAGGTCAAAGGCTACGGGTGTGTCCCATAAGGAAACCACCTGCTTCGGTCTGGGCACCCGGCAGTATCACAGCCCACACACAAACCAAGTGGCTTGTGTGGCGCATATGTATTCGGTGCCCTTTTGTACCAATATTTATGTGTTCAAATAAATAGTCACTATGTTAGTTAAATAATCAGTATCTAAAATTTGCTGATCTATATATTTAATAGTATAAATTCTTTTCAAATGTAGAGAGAAACCATGGTTAGTTAAAACTTATGTATGTTATTATTTTAGTGATGCACGAATTATCACATGGTTTTAATCATATGCCATATGTTAGACACCAGAACAGTATTGATTGCAGAAGAATAGTCATAGCGAGTACTTGTAGAATTTAAAACCATATTTGTCAAGTATACAAAACTAAGTATCATGGCCAGAAACGTTACATTTGAGTCACCTTTTGACTGACTCGTATAGACTGGATTTTGAACAATAGATCGCTTTTGTATAACTTAAATTCTTTAGAGCGTCTAAAACAAGAATCTTACTAACGAGATAGACGTTTTTTACCGAATCGCAATTTAAACGAACTGGGTAAATATTCGCAGTTGAACAGTGCAACTCAGAACAAAGTATGTAGACCAATGACTTAATTGTTGACCTAAACTTTAAATTAGAGTACGAACAATAAACTGGAAAAAACTGTAATCCTTGGTGAAACAAAAAAACTATAGTGGGAGTTAGTAATCTATGTAGTAATTAAATTAAAGAGCACTTGATTTATCACATTCAACTTACCAATACTTCATTTGTTAAACACTCCAATAAACGTACTAATAAGTATCCATTACGTAAGTCCAAAAATAAATCTTGAACCCAACAATTACGCTGATAGGGAAAGAAAGAAAAGGAGAAAAGAGTAGAGAAATGCAATAGATGGATGTAGTCTTTTTTCTATGAATCATTTTTAACTGAAGAACTAAAATCAATCTAGAAGCAGACAAACAAATAGCCATAGAGAAAACAAATAAACGAAGAGCGATCAAGCACTGTGAAATAGCCAAAAATTTGTGGCAAATATCTCACGAAACTTACGCATCAGATAGAGTGAGGGAATCGTTTTATCTAAGTGAAATGTATCACACAAACACGAAACAAGTCAATCCAATCATTATAATAATTGAATGACTGAAACACTAAACAATTTATTGTGAAAAAAACCTGGGTCATAAAATAATTGATAAAAATACTGATAAGTTAAGCTTGCTACATTACAGTTTCCTCAGGGGTAGATGATGGGTCTTGTAGGAAATAATGTTAAATTAAGAAAAAGTTATACGGGAAATAGAAGTGGACAAACTATTCAAAATGAAAGTCAGTGCAAATGCTAACACGAATAAAGTCATTTGTACATGCTCATATGTACAGAAGGAGAGTTTTAAGTGGTCCCGTTCAGTAATAATAATGTTCTTGTTTATATTTCAGCAGGGGGTGTAGTGCAGTAAGTCAATACTTTTTAGACTAATTCGCTAATCAGATAATGAAGCAGTTTTAATGTATACAAAAACCTGTGAATTCTGCGATAGACTTATCATTCTTTTTATACAAATAACCTTGAATTCTGTTTTTTTCTCATATTTGACAAATTACAAGTAATTTTCCATTTCAATCTATTATGAAATCAAGGAGCACTGGATAGCTATTTCATTTTAATTTGGGACTTCGATAGTAAAACAATCATTTTATATTTACTATGTGTAAGTATAGTTAAGAAATTTGTAATGCGAATATTCCTTTCACTTAGATGTTTTCAAAAGACACATTAGATCAACTCGTGTAGAATAAACTCATCTTTGAGACTCAACAGTACTATGCATAGTAAGCTGGGGAGTCACAACTACTTTATTAGAACTGAAGATACCCTGACATCTTCTACACATAATTAAATAATTAACTAATGTAACTTAGTGATTAAATATAAGATGCTCGGTGGACATCATTGCTTATTCAATTACATAATTCAATGTAATTGAATTAGAGTGAGGTGGGGGAGCCGAATCGTCAATCTCATTGTTGCAACTTGAATTCATTAACAACAAAGCCAACATTCAACGACAAACTGAAATGGACTCTTGGCCTGAAGAAATGAAGAGCTGAATATTTTAAGTACTGAAGTCATTAATGGACTATGATAACAATTAAAACGAATGATTGGAAACCCATAGAGTGATGAACACATGATATATATATATATATATATATATATATATATATATAAACTGCACAAAATTGTGAAACAAAAGATTAAAAATTAAAAGATTTTAACTACTAACGGTTAAAGAACTAAGACAGACACACAAAAAAAAAAAACATTAACTGAGTAACACAATTACTCATTTGTTGTTTCGTTCACTGTTCAAGCGACGAGCCATTACATTAATAAAATAGATTAAACTGAAATAAAATACGATTATATTACACGCGGATAATAATAATAATAATAATAATAATAATAATAATAATAATAATAATAATAAACGACAACGAAATGACAACTGCTGTTATTATATAAAAAATTGCATCATTTTGTATTTCTTTACTGAAAAAAAAACATAAAGAATCGCTTGCAGAAAAGCTAGTAAACAGTCTTTCTTCTTTTTTTAACACATAGGTATTGGTACAAGGAGGTACCAAATAAATATGCGCCACACAGATCTCATTTGATATGTGTGAGGGCTGTGATACTGCCCGGGTGCCCGAACCGGAGTAAACAGTAACGGTGTAGAAACGTCAAGTACAGAAAAGTATTTCTTTAAGTAAAACTTAACAAGTGACAAGATGAAGGGGGCATCAAATGACCCTGAAAATCATTACCAATCACGTAAAAAAACATCAATGTTCAATAGAAAATAATATGAAAAAAAGCTAAACAAGCACAGATTATCATCTTTCGTTGCTAACTATTTCAGTTTCGACTAAACATATGTGTAAATCATAAACAATAAGATACTGTCTTAACAAATTACATCGCAAACTAACTTATTTTAAATTTAATTTACCTCGTTTACACCTAGCTTTCATTTAAATTCTAGGCATAAAGAATGTTGATACTAATCGGTTTGCCAAACTGAATTAGGTGGGGTGGAGTTGGAACCTTTAACGTCATAACTAGAGAGACACCGTTCTCGTTCAGTTAGACAACCAGTCAAAGTCAAGAAGCGTTGAAAAGATGATATCATATTTGAAGCGACGACTATTGCATTCGAGTTTTAGTGTGAATATCTCAACAGTGCTATCCAAAGAAAGCCAACTGTACAACTATCAAAACGGAATTAAACAGACATTCTAGATCCTACACTCAGTCACAATACAAAAAGAATAACTTCAACGAATCTAAATTGTCGTTACATATAGCATATGTGCTTACGGTTAGAATTCAGAAAAAAAGCAACCACATCCATGAATGTAATTTCCAGCATTAACTGACATTTAAATTATTTATAATATGTATATAAATTTAATGATATTCAATCCAAGTTTATATGTGAAGATAAAAAAGAAAGTATTATTCATCTGTTGTCATTAATTCCTTGAACTTTAAATCATAATAAAAATTTTCACATGAATAAATCAAGAAATATTATGAATATTTTATGACCGTTTAGAAAGCTGACTAATAGTGTAGTATATACAAGCATGACTTAAAACTAGTTTATTTTCTAATATCATAATTGTGACAAACAATCGTGAAAAAAAGTAGTACATACAAGTATTAACAATAAATCATTGTAAATAATTTCATGAAATAAATATACAACAAGAAATCACTTTAGTCCGATAGGTTCAGTCATTTGGTATCTACATGAATAAGGAAGATGCGCTAATTAATGTTAGACTTTTCTCAGTGTCGCTAAAAATCAATAGGTAATGTTAAATATTTACCGAATACAAGTTCATATTTGGTGGCATATTTTGTGTGAAAGCTAATAATACTACTGGATTACTATAACTGTATAGTAGAGAAGGATGGTTAGAACCCAAAACCTATGGATTAATAACTGAGTGTTTGGATCACTAAGTTATCACTTCAACTTAGTCGGTGGTTTTTTTCAAACAGTCCACCCCAAGTTGGCTTATCCGAAGTGACAGAAAGTATGAATCGAAACACAAAATACATATTTTAAAATAAAGAAGTAAACTGAGACGAGAACATAAGTGTTAACGTAAAAATTACAAAATGAATTTCTAGCATACACAACGTTATCTGGTAAGGAGAATTTCGCCATCTAATATAAATATCCATCAGTGTTGTTAATAGCAGATAAACTAGTCTTATTGTTTAACCTTTCAGAATAGGATATCATGATTTAAAAATCGATGCACACACACACACACACACGAACATACACATGCTCACGAAAAGAAAAACGATACAATTTCGGAATTTCAAATTTCATTTTTCATATCTCATACAAAAAAACGTTAATATCGTCTGGAAAAAAACATGTGCACATCTAATTTTTGATAGAAAAAAGAAAAAAATTTTCTAAAAAAAAGAATATTCTTAGTGTGACTACACCTGATTTATGAAATTTCGACTGTGATACCGAAATTTTCACAGCGAATGTAAAACAAACATTAACAGGGTTTATTTTTAATTCATATTTTTAAAGCGGGAATTGTAGTGATTGATATAAACCTGTATAACAAAATAGAGTGAAAAACTGTTTTCTTTAGAAATTATTGAACATGAAGTCAAATGATTCAATAGATTATTCACAAGAAAGAATAATCAATCGATGCTTAGAGAAATAATTACAGCATGTCTCTATTCAAATTAGATAATCTAGATATAGACACAATGTGTAATAACACGTTAAGCTTTATATTAACAACTAGTGTAGTGATCAATACTGAAAGAGATGAGATGATTAACGCTTTCTATTATAAATGGTTTACTTATATGCTGTTAAATGCTTCAGAGGGGAAATGTTTACCAAAGAGAATATTCGAAAATATTCAATATCTGATACTACTTTGTATAAAAAGTAATATATTCAACTTCGTATTTAGAATTTTATGAAATTGATGTACGTAATATACAGAAATGCAAATCGAAAACAGTATCCAGGTTAATAGCAATAAGAGACTGGAATGAAGTAAGTTGCATGATTCGGGTCTGTTAGTATTCATAAACATAATCATACGGAGTAATAGAGCTTGAACTAAAAGTTATGATCTTTTTTGTAGGAATAATGCAGGTTGTTTTAACTCCAATAATAGTACGGATCTAACACAACTATCGAATAAGAATGTTAGAGTTAATTAATTGATTGAAACAAGGGAATGATGAGCAGTTGATTATTTTGTTTCAAACTTTTCAGTTGTGATCATCCATACAACACCATATGGAACCGAAACTAAGATCTTCAGACTATGCAGGGAGAAAGACACCTTCAGAGAGTTCATGTTGTCAACTTCAGGCGATTTGTGATATTAACCAATCAAGTATGATCTAAGCAGCTAGTTATCGTATCATCGAAATCCAATAATATATTTTTTTATCATTTATCTTAGTTATTTTACACCTGAATAAATTCTACAAAGTAATGCCGTCAACAATATCCTATTACATAAACAGATGTTGAATAATTCTTAATTCAAATGTCAATAAACTCTAATGACTAATTTTACATTGACCGTAATCAATGTTAATTTGCTCTGTATTAGAATATCGTGGAAATTTATACTCCATGGACGATTCTCAAACAGACATCAATCAATGCAAACAGTCAGTCAGTCAGCTATAACGTAGGACCAGGATATAGTACAGGGAGAAAGATTTAGGACGTAGAAAGAAAGATATGCACATGGGCTCCAGTATCTTG